ATTACTATTATCACTATCTGTCAGGCTTTGTTAGGCTCTTTTTTTTTATATAAATTTATTTTTATTTTTGGCTGCATTGGGTCTTCATTGCTGTGTGCGGGCTTTCTCTAGTTGTGGCAAGCAGGGGCTACTCTTCGTTGCAGTGCACAGGCTTCTCATTGCGGTGGCTTCTCTTGTTGTGGAGCATGGGCTCTAGGTGCTGCGGGCTTCAGTAGTTGTGGCACGTGGGCTCAGTAGTTGTGGCTTGTGGGCTCTAGAGCGCAGGCTCAGTAGTTGTGGCGCACTGGCTTAGTTGCTCCGCGGCATGTGGGATCTTCCCAGACCAGGGCTCAAACCTGTGTCCCCTGCATTGGCAGGTGGATTCTTAACCGCTGCGCCACCAGGGAAGCCCTCGTCCATTCTTTTAATTGAGCATCATTGTCCTCATTTTTCAAATCAAAGTCACTAAGACTGACAGTAGGTAAATAACTTGCTTGAGATCAATACGCTGAGAAGCAGAATTTAACTCACGTGTGCCGTGATCCTTCCACGACAGCAGAAAGCCTCCTCTGCCCTCAGAGACCCTGGAGCCTAATGGGACCTCACCACCTTCCCTCTTTTCCAAATATTGAAACCCTGTGCCTCCTAGGAGGCCGCCATGTGTGGCCGCCGCTTCCTTACCCACACAGCCAATGGTCACCACCCCGTCCTTGTAGCGCTCCCGTATGGGGCCTGTTGGCTCCATCGCTGAGTCAGTCTGCTGCTCCACCAGGACGGCCGGCCCATCCTCCTCTTCCTCCTCCTCCCCAGAGCCATTACCCCAGGTGGCTCCAGCCACATCCCGGGCAATCTTCTCCCGCCAGCTGCTCAGGTCCACTGTGCAGGGAAGGAAAGAAGAAGAAGGTTCTCCCCAGGGCCACTGTATACGATGGTGCAGACCACGCACTGCACAGCTGATGTAAGTGGCGCCCTCTGGATTGGGTAGGGCCAAGCTGCGCAACAGCGACTCTCCCCAGCCTTCACTTGACTCCACCCTGGAATCGGGTGCATTTCTGAGTTTCTGAAAAGCACTGGCAACACTGAAGACAGCAAACCAGTGGGGCTCCTGCCTCCCTGCTGCCTCTCTTGTCCCACCAAGTCAGGCTGCTCCCTCTCCCACCCCACCCCATGGCCTCTCACCTGAGTCCATAATAGAGGGACTGACTTTGGGAAAGGTGAGCAAAATGACTTGGGACTTTGGGTCTCCCCCACGGCCTCCCACAGCTCCCCTCTAAGGGGCACATACCTTTCCCCGCAGTGATAGCTTCACAGGCTCTCAGCAGCTGCTCCGGCCCCAGAGCCCGAGTCCATCCTCTCCCCCGCCTCCGACTCTTCTTCAAGACTGAGATCAGAGGGCACAAAAGCGTGAGCACACCCCATGGGGCTTATGTACCCCCTCTCTCCCACCACCCTCAGGCCCTAGATCAGGTCCCCCTTTGTCCCTTGCCACCCCACCTCTCCCACGCTGCCCTCCTCATTGCCCACTCACCACTGCTAGGGTCCTGTGGGGTGCGGGGATCCCGAGGAAAAGAGGTGAAAAGAACAATGTGGAGCTGGGGATAGTGTTGATGGAAATAATGCTTCCAGGCAACCACGAGAGCCGGCGGGGCCAGATCCACCTTGTTCAGGACCAGCACCAGGGCCAGCCCTAGCTCTCCAGTCACGTACTCGTAAAGTGCTGGTGGGAAATTCACAACCTGGAACAGGGATGGTAGGAGGAGGGAGTGATGCGAGGTCAACCCAGAGTTCTCTGCCTCCAGCTCCTCACACAGCAGGCACAGCTTGGAGACAAGACCCTGGTGGAAGCAGATTCTGGGGCAACAAGGATAAATCAGCCAAACTGAACTAGGAAGACAAAGCAGGCATAAGTAACACCTATGTGTTTGTCTCTGGGGGGCTTCCTGTAAGGCCTGATTAGGAATGGAAATGAGCTAAAAAGAAGACAAGGAAACAGAGACCCCCAACATACTGGGCTAAACGCTGAGATCACTCACAGGGCTGGGGGTGGGATAGAAATTAATATCTATTTTCACAGGTACACAACTGTCTACATGTGTACACAAACGTGTGTGTGCACGCACACGTGTGCATGTTTGTGTTGAGCACGTGTAGCTGCATAAGTGAGCTTGTGAATGCACATGTACGTCTGTGAGTATGTAGGAGTGCGTGTGTACGTGTTAAGGAGCTCCAACCCAAAGGTCCGCACAGACTCCAGACCTCCCTTTCTCCCACTGGAGGACAACAGTGAAGTGGCACAGCCAGGTCACACAAGGGCTGCCTAGCTGCAAAGTCTAAAGCCTTAACCACTACCCTAGCATCCCAGGTGAGGACGAGTTCTGTAGTGACTGATATGACAGGGAAGCCCCTGGAGCTCCACACTGGGACTTTCTATTTAGCCCTAGTGGGCTAGGAAACAGGATGTGTATGCAGTTTTCCATCAAAGAAATAAAGGAGAAGAAAGGCAGTTGGCCAGGGGAGGAGTGACAGGCTCTGACGCTGATGAATAAAGACTGAGTTCCTGACTGCAGACATCAGGATGGGGTAGAGGAGACTGGAAAAGAAGAGGTTACCTCTCTGACTCCCAATTCCTGCCTCTGCCCTTTACCCAGCAAGAATCTTCCCCCCTTCCTGCCCCTTACCCACCCTCATCCCCAGGACTCACTGGATGTCGGATATCAGTAATTAGCAGAACAATGTCAGACATCTCCAATACTCGCCACAGCTGCCTCCACGTCTGAAAAGACAAGGTCAGTGGAAGAGAACCTGAGCCCAGAGTCGCTCTCCTGCATGACCCCAGACCAGTTTGACCACGGGTGACTATGCCCCACTCCTGTCCCCACTCTAGTCTCACCTCCAGATTGTGCTCAAAGTAGCTGAGTTTCTCAGAGGTGTAAGCCCCATGAATCTTCCCAAGATACTCCTGGAAGCTCCGTTCCTCCTGGCTCATCAGTTGCTCCTTGGACATCTCATAGCTCCAAGGAGGACGTCGGGGAAAGTCCAGGACTGAGAAATCAAGAAAAAATCCAAGTAAGTCTGAGGATAGTTTCAGGACTCAAGGGTGCATCCATCCCAGACTCCTTCTTCCTCCCGGTCAGCTCTTACTCTTCCAAACTCCTTTCCCCAGCCCACTGCCTGTCCCAAGCATCCAGGCGTTGAGCTCTCACTCACCGGAGCCGGGCTGATAGACCTCCCAGATGTCCAGCACCAGCAGCTCAGCACTGACGGGCTGTAGCACTTGCTCCCGGGCTGCTCTCTTTCTCCTCTCCACCTCCTCCCGGCTGTCTCGTTCAAAATGCAGCCGGTATCTACAGGACAGGGACCACGTCATCCATCACAATCCTTGGCCACGAATTCCCCTCTTGGGCAGGCAACTTCGCAAAGCTTTCACTCCAGAGTTCAGGTCTCCCCTCTGAGTCGGCCCTCTCCCAAATCTCTTTCACGCAACAGCAGGCCTTCCCCTAAGTTTCACCCTTCTGAAAGCCAAACTCTCTCCAGCCCCTCCAGAAGGGAAGATTGTGGACCGCTCCGGTGACCCAGCGGCCCGCGGAGAACCGTGGTAACCCAGCCCCACCAGTTTCAAGCCTCCCCCAACGGCAGCAGGCTTCCCCCCAACGCTCTGACTTCCAGGTAGGCGGGGAAGCCCGGGCCAGAGCCCCCTGTCCACTCTCACCGATTTGGGTCATAGCCTCGTGGGCCCAGCCCCTGGGCAGGCTGCTGGTTGAGCCTGCGGATTTGTTGGGTCACAGACTCCCCGTCCGAGGTGTCGGTCTGCTCCTCCCGCCGCTCCCGGCTCCCGCTGCGGCTGTTGGAACTGGATCGCAGCCCATCTTGAAGCCCTGCGGGGAGGAGCCGGTGACGCCAGGGCTGGCCAGCTCTCCCGGGCCAGAAGACCCCCACCCGGTCGGCCTGGCTCCTCCCCACACCACCCCAGTCTTTTGAGGCCGGACTCTCCCACCTACCCTGCTCAGGACCCTCCCGGATGTGCGTGGGGGGAGGCACTTCTCCTCCAGGGATCTACTGGGATGACGCCCCGTTGGAGCTGGAGGGATTCCCCTCCCCCAACACTCCATCCTTCCCCACCCCTTCCAGATGTAGGGGGCTGGGGTGAGGGAATCCCCTCCGCGGTCGCCCACGCGCGTCGGCGCGCGGCAGCCACCCCCTCTCACGCCTCCCAGAGGTGAGGCGGGCACACCCCTCCTCCCAGATGTGTGGGAGTCCGAGCCCCGCCCCCTCCCCTGGCTCCCGCACTGACCTCGCTTCCGCTCCCGCTTGTCCTGCAACTGCTTCTTCTTCTGCTTCACGCTGAAAGGCTTCTTCCTCGGCATGGCCCGGACCAGTCACCTGGCCCGCCCTTCGCCGAGCTCCAGCCGCCTCAACTGACTCCCCCCGAGCCAGCCCCCGCCGCAAGGGCCCGGGACACTGGAGGGGGCGGGACTGGAAGGTGACGTCAGCGGGCGGGCCAGGCCGATGCGCCCAGGCGGCCCGGGTGGAAGGCAACCAGGGGGAAATACAGTCACTTCCCACGGGAGCGAAGCGAGAGGATGATGCGGGGTGGGCTACCCGCACGTGAGAGCCAGTGGCGCTGAGAGGGCGCAGCAGCGGCTAGGAAGGAGGCGCGCGTGGGAGGGTCGGGCTAACTTCGTCACGGACGCTACCAAATCGCGTTTGGAGGAGGGGGGACGCGTGTCATCACTACCTTGCGAGCCGGGGAGAAGCTACCATTCACCTGGAGGGGGCGGTGGAGCGGAGGGCGGGTCCTACCACCTGCGGGATAAAGGGGCGTGGACGCGCAGAAGCTACTTTACCAATCCTCCGGCTGGACCTTAGAGGAAAGCCGCGACTGCGCGTCCCGGGAAGGAAGCCAAGTTGATGGGCTACACTGGGGACAGGGTGAGAGGTCTTGAGGGGCGAGTGGTGGTCTGGAGAGCCCTGGGCACCGCCCTGCTGGGACCCAAATTCCTCGTGGGAACGATGGTAAGCAGCAGGTTTATAGATCCTAAGTGCAAGCGCGCGGCCGAGGAGGGAAACCGAGGTGGAACAAGGATTTTTGGAAGGAGGTCATAGGGCACGAAGTTGTGCCTGCAGCTGTTACCATAGAAACCGGGGACCGGATGTGGCGATCTTAGGGTGCGACAGCCGTCTTTTCTCAGGCCTTCTGGCCCGAGAGCCTGTCGACTCTATGGCACACTATGAGGAGCCGGCTGTAGGGTTTTTTCAGCGAGGGCAGGAGCGAGGAGCTTTTTCTACAGCGTTTATAGAAACGCAGCAAAGGAAAGGTTTGAGATTGCTGCCATGCCTGGCAGAGACTGAGGGAGGCGGCTGATGTGAGAACAGCCGCACTAAGTTTCCCCGCAGCCTTCCGGAAGTGAAATGGCGGGAGCCTCACCCTCACTGTCCACTGCCCCCCGGAAGCGGAAACAGGATCTCAGCGTGCCCCTTCCTCACTGCCCTCCAAATCCAGCTGCAGCCATTGCGGCAACCACGATGCCGAAACGAAAGAAGCAGAATCATCATCAGCAGCAGCCGCAGCAGCAGCCCCCACTGCCAGAGCGGGAAGAGACTGGAGATGAGGAGGATGGGAGTCCCATCGGTGAGGAACCCGGGAGTTGTGTGCACATGCTTGTCAGCCGGCCGAGGCGAGGGGTTGGGGGCTGAAAAGGTGCGGGGGAGGGGGCTCCAACGGAAGGAGGAAGGGCGCACGCGCTGGGGCTGGGGCTGGGGCTGGGGGAGGCCTGGCTGGGATGGAACACTAAATGAGTTCTCTTACTTGAACCCTCAACTTCAAACCTGCCACTAAACCTTTCTAAAGAAGGCAGGGGAGAAGATAAAGATCTCGTGTGCGCAGCCGCAAAACGACAGGGGAGAGGGGCCCTAGAGAGGTTGTAGGTTGCGATGACTGGGATGACAATTTGTGACCAGACGTTCACGGGGAATGTGGAAGTGCAGCCTTCTGTAAACTACTCGGAGGTGGGGGGGTGGGGGGAGAGCCATCTGATTGGCCAGCAGTGAAAGAGAGGAATTGGATTACCTCTGGAATCCCTTGGGATCTTTTGGATAGCAACAATGTAAGGGAAAGAGAAAGTTTGTAGGTATCCTTCCCTCATTATCTCCCTTGACTTGGCTGAGTCTCCACTTTGCAAATCCTGAAAACGCTTTGAAAATAGATGGGGTGAGAACTCATAACACTGCTGAGAACATACCTGGCTTTGCTGGTTAGATTAAGAAATGAGTAATAGAAGACAAACATCTAAGAACAGGATCATCAGTTTTTTAGTCCATTCTGATGACCATATTTTCATGTCTGCCCTTAGGACCACCCAGCCTTCTGGGCCCTCCCCCCATGGCCAATGGAAAGCCTGGTGACCCCAAGTCAGGTGAGGAGGAAGGGGCCCTCATCCTTTGATTAGGTCCTGAGAAGGGAGCAAGGGAGGGACTATAACCCAGAAAGGACTTAAAATTAAAAGATCAGGAATTTTGTACTTAAATGAATGGAGAGATGTTGTGTATTGACAGCCTGGAAAAACTCAATGTGGTAAAAATGTTATGTCTTCCCAAACTGACCTATAGATTCAGTGCACTCCCAATTATAATCCCTACGGTGTTTTTGTAGAAATAAACATTCTACGTTTTTGTATGGAAACGCAGAGGATCAGGGTGAGAGGTTGCAAAGATAATCTTGAAGTGGAAGGGCTTACTGTGAATATCAAGACTTATCGTAAGCCTGTAGTAGTGGTAACAGTGTGGTATTGGCCCAACGATAGATATATAAATCAACAGAACGGCATAAAGAGTCCAGTAACAGGCCCACACATATGTGGCCATTTCACTGATGATGAAGATGGAACTGAAATAGTGGTCTTTTCAGTAAATGATGCTGAATTAATTGGATATTCATGGGTAAAGAAATAATTCTAGAAAACAAATGTATTTCATGGGCTTAAAGTAGATGAGAGCTTTTAAACAGACAAGAAACACACACACTAACCATAAAGGAAAGATAAACTGAACTATGTTAGAAAATGTGAACTTCTGTTAATCAAATCACACCATTAAGAAGTTAATAGGAAGCCACAGAGTAGAAGATACTTGCAACAATATAACCAATAAAGCGCTCATATCTTGAATATATAAAAACTCTCTGACAACCTGTTAGAAAAATGGGCAAAAGACCAGAACAGCCACCTGATAAAAACCAATCTCTAAATACCCAAAAACATGAATAAGAACTCAACATCATTAGTCATCAAATAAATGTAAGATAAAAACACATAAGTTTGAAACTGAGCCCCTTGTGTACTGTTGGTGGGATTGTAAAGTGGTCCAACCACTATGGAAAACATTATGGAGATTCCTCAAAAAATTAAAAATAGAGCTACTGTATGATCCAGCAATTCCACTTCTGGGTATTTACCCAAAAGAATGGAAAGCAGGATCTTGAAGAGGGACTTGCACACCCATGTTCATAGCAGCACTATCCACAGTAGACAAGAGATGGAAGCCACCCAAATGTCTGTTGATGGATGAATGGATAAACAAAATGTGGTATAATCATATAATGGAATATGATCCAGCCCCCAAAAGGAAGAAAATCCTGTAACATGCTGCAGCACGGATGAACCTTGAGGCCATGCTAAATGAAATGAGCCAGTCACACAAAAAAAACTGCTCTATGTTTCCACTGATCTGAGGTATCTAAAGTAGTTAAATTCATAGAAATGGAAAGTAGAATGGTTGTTGCCAGGGGCTGGGTGGAGGAGGGGAAAAGAGAGTTGTTTAGTAGCTATAAACTTTCAGTTTTGCAAGATGAAAAATTTCTGGAGATCTGTTTCCAACAAGATGAATTTACTTAACACTACAGAGATGTACACTTAGAAGTAGTTAAGATGGCAAAATTTATGTTACATGTTTTAACCACAATTTCAAAACAAAACACCGCTTTTCACACTCACCAGAATGGCAAAAATGAAAAAGATCAACATTACCAAGTGTTGTCAAGGAACAACAGGTTGTCTATGGAACAACTGCTGGTGGGGGTGTGAGTTGGTACAACCACTTTGGAAAAAAAAAAAGTTTGACTTCCTTAAACTTGAGCATACATATACTTGAGGACCCATTAATATGTCTACTACGTATATACTCAACAGAAATGAATCCATGTGTGTACCGAAGACACGTATAAAAACGTTCATAGCAGCATTTTTCGTTATAGCCCCACACTGGAATCCACCACAGTAGAATGGCTAAATAAGTTGTATGTGCATACAATGAGATACTACACTGCAATGAAAATGAAGGAACTCCTGCTACAGGCAACCTGGATGAATCTCATAAACATGATGTTGAGCGAAAGGATCCAGACACAAAAGAATGCAGACTGTATGATTTCATTTATGCAAAGTTCAAAAACAGGCAAAAACTAACCTATGATGCTAGAAGTCAGGATAGCTGTTACTTTTGGGGAGTAGGGTGGGATAGTGGGGGAGGAGGGGCACGAGGGGGTGGGGCTTCTGAAGTGCTAATAAGGTTCTATCCCTTCTCTAGCCTGTGTTAGTGGAAACACAGGTGTGTTTACTTTGGTGATGATTGAGTTGTGCACTTAAAATTGTGTATTTTTTGGTATGTATATTGTACTTCAATAAAACGTTTTTAAAAAATCAGGGCTTCATTATCTGGATTAAGCTAGCCATTGATCACCTTTCCATGTTTCTCTCTCTCTTGCTCTCTCTCCCTCTCTCCCTCTCCTTCTCTCTCTCTCTCTTCAGCTCTTCACAGAGGTCCTCCGGGATCAAGGGGACCAATGATCCCACCACTGCTGAGTCTCCCACCTCCTCCCCGGGGCAGAGGCCCAATTCGGGGAGGCCTAGGCCCCAGGTCTGGCCCATATGGTCGTGGTTGGTGGGGGGTCAGTGCTGAGCCTCCTTTTCCTGGACCAGGCCATGGGGGTCCCTCCAGGGGAGGCTTTCACAAAGAGCAGAGAAATCCTCGAAGGCTCAAAAGCTGGTCTCTTATCAAGAATACCTGCCCACCCAAGGATGGACCCCAGGTTATGGAAGGTGAGGTCCATTTTTTTTATGCCTGCACACATTGAACACCCATCACTCCCAAAGTGACCTCATGTCCAGAATGCCCATGGCTCTTCTTCTTTGGGCTGTCCTTTGTCCTTTTGAAGTAGGAGTAGCCCTGAATGTTTTTTCTCCCAGGAGAAAGACTACCATTCCATCATATCTGGAAATGGTAGTGAGTAGGAAATCTCACTGCCTTCTCTATCTCTGCTTTTTGTTACATTTGTTTTCTTTCTTACTCGCATTTTAAACTGCCCGGTTTTCGCTTGTTCACAGACAAATCTGACCGCCCCGTCTGCCGACACTTTGCCAAAAAGGGCCACTGTCGATATGAGGACCTCTGTGCCTTCTACCACCCTGGCGTAAATGGACCTCCTCTGTGAGACTGTGCCTTCCCATCCAGACTGGAAGGAGCCCTCTGACTTGGCGGCCATATACTTCCCTGTGGCCCTGTGATGGCTACCGCGAGGCCGTTCACCTGCCGCCCTCAGTCAGTGATGCCCAGCTCCATCACCACCTACCCCACTCGGGGTCCAGAGCTGTGTTCCGTGACTGGTGCACGGTGTGCGCTCTTCCTTCTGATGCAGCCTCCAGAGACTCGTCTCCGGGACCCCATCTTTGCTCCATTCAACTGCCTCCTGGATCCTCTTCCCCCTCGCCAGCTGACTGCAGAACAGGAAACCTCTTTGGTGCTGTTTCTTGTGCATCTGTCCACCCAGCCCCAGGTAGCGCCCTGGATTCCTGAGAGCCCTGGAGCAGTTTCCTACCATTCCCTTCTCGCTGCTTGTTTTAAGTCCTTTTTATGTGACACCCCCTTCCCCCAGTGTTGTCAGCTGCTCTGTGACACTCACCAGCTTGTCTGACCTGGGGTCAAGTTGGGATGACTGGTGCAGAGTCACTCCTGAGAGGCCACGTTCCCTGCTTTTGGATTTTGTAGTTTCTGCATCAGTAGCATGATCTCCACCGCTATGGTCTGTGATCACTGTGCTTTGTGAGACTGTGCATCCCCTCATAGCCTTTCTCAGTGTCCATGGCATTTTTGTGACTTCCCAACGCTACAGTGAGTTTTTCTGCCAAAATGCGTGGGGCCGTTGGTGGCCTCTAGACTTTCCCCACCTCCCGACGTGGGAGAACTGTGAAACTTCCACAAGGCTGCCTGCCTGGTCCTCCCCATTCTCCCGGTATCAGTTTCTCTGGGTTTGACACAGGCCCGAGAGGTGTCCTCTACCCTATCTCCTCTCCAGCCCGTTTTAGACTATGTCATTGTGAGGCCACCAGCCCTTTCGTTTGAATTCTGTGAATCTCCACCTGGTCTAACTGTGGGTGGAACTTGGACAGTACTGTCGCCCTCTTCCAACCTTCTTCCCCTGCATCCCTGGCACTGGTTGTTTTCTGTGAAAACGGCAGTGAACAGGTTCAGTTTTGAACTGGCCCTGGGGAAATGGGTCAGGAGTTGTGTGGGCAAGAGGGAGGGATGAGAGCCGTTGGAGAACTGAGAATGAATTTTTTTTTTCTTTCTAACATGTTTTTATATTAGTAATAAATGCAGCGGAAACAAGCATTTTCTTTAATCCCTGTGTTCCAGTCATCTCAGGAGGTGCAGGTGAGGCTGTTCTTCTTGGAGTCAGTTTATTCTTCATTTAGTTCATACGCAGTGTTGCTAGAAGTTTCTTCCAGTCTGAGGAAGCCAGTGGCGTCCCATTAACCTATGGGAATCAACCCGACCAGGTTGCATTTTGTTCAAGGGTAAAGTTTTGTTGAGAAAAAGGAAAGGCCGGGTATCCATGGAGTAATTTTTAAACATTTTACCTGCATTTATGGTTTGAGGTTTATGGAGTGGTAATGACAAAGCAATCTTTCAACAAATATCTCTAGCATGCGTGTGGGCCAGGCAATGTACTAGATGCTAGAGAAAATGGAGAGCCGAAATCAATGCATTTAAAATCTACAAGAGGAGACACGTTAGTGAAAAAGTCACCAGTATGCGTGAAGTACCTGTCAGAAGTGCTATGAAGAAGCGAGACGGGGACTTCCCTGGTGGCACAGTGGTTAAGAATCCGCCTGCCAATGCAGGGGACACGGGTTCGAGCTCTGGTCCGTGAAGATCCCATATGCTGCAGAGCAACTAAGCCTGTGTGCCACAAATACTGAGCCTGCACTCTAGAGCCCGCGAGCCACAACTACTGAGCCCGCGTGCCACAACTAGCGAGCCTGCGCGCCTAGAGCCTGTGCCCTGAAACAAGCCACCACAGTGAGAAGCCCCAGCTCGCAGCAGCTAGAGAAAGCCTGCGCGCAGCAACGAAGACCCAATGCAGCCAAAGATAAATAAAAAATAAATACATTTATGTTTAAAAAAAGAAGGCGTGGTGAGGGAGCATGTAATAAACGGAGTCTGGGGAGATGGCAGGTGAGACAAGCTCTGAGCACAAGCAGGAGGTGAGGTGGGAGAGCAGAGTCCAGGCAAAGGTGTTGCTAAGAGGAGATGGGAAGAGTGAGAGGCAAGGAGAAGGAAAAGGAGCTAGACGACTCAGGGCCTTGCAGAACATGAGGATTTGGGTCGTAAGAAGCCTTTGAAGAATTTTAGGCAGGTGGGTATCATAGATTAGACAGGTTTTTCAAAAAGATGACCTCTGTATGGAGCTGGCCAGGCTGGAAGTGGCATTAGCAAGTTACTTGAGCAGTCCGAGGGAGTCGGTGGTGGTATAGACTTGGGTAGCGGAGTGGAAGAAACGTGAACATTTGGAAATAGACCAAAATGGAAGTATTTTAGGTTTCCCAGGGTCGGGTCGTTCTGGCTCGCATAACCAAGTGCTGTTTGGAAAGGTATTAGAAGAAAACAGGCAGAATGCCACTAATTTGCTTTTGGAATGGTTGCATCTTTTCAGACATCCAAGGAGAGATATAAAGTAAGTAGCTGGATATACAGATTTGGTACTCAGATTAAAACTAGAGACATAAATCTGAGTTACTTGCATATAGGTAGTGGTTGAAGCTATGAGCGTGGACACATTCCTTCACTCTAAATATTAAGCACCTATTATGGCCCAGTTATGAGTTTTAAGTTCAGTTGTAACAAACCAAAATTAGTCTTAAAGCAAGATAGAAGTTTATTTCTCTCACAAGTCAAGAAGTGTAGTACAAGGCATGTGTGACAATCATGCCACCACAAGGTCCTCAGGTGTTCAGAACCCCTGCTCCCCCCTAGCTCTCAGCTCCATGATTCTTGGGGCCAGACCCTCCTATTCACAGTCTGCAGTGAAACTCTAGCTCACTTATCCATGCTCCAGGCCTCAGGACGGAGGAAGGGCAGAGGAAATTACCTCCAAGCTAACATACCCTCTTTAACTTACACATCATTGGCCATAACTTAGTCCTGTGGCCAATCCTTGGCCCCAGTGAGGCTTGAAAAGTACTCTTTATTCAGGCAGCCACGTACTAAGCAAACTCTTGGCCCTTCAGCAGGTAAAAACATTAGAGGAGGATGAACATCCTGTACCAGTGCCTCCCTGCTAGAATTTGGACATGAAATAGAGAATAAGACAGTCAAGTGTCAGTGCCCTCCAGCCAAAGACCACACATCACCTGCAGAGATCTCACTAAGAGAGGGTTAGGAGTGATTAGGATGTGTGTTTGTGTTAGGGTTTGTGTTGTGATTTGGGGGAAGATTCAAGGAAGTGGGGAATCTAGATTGAGTGCTCCCAGGAAGTGGGAGCAATTCTATCATTTCACATTTTAATACAGTCATCCCTCGGCATCTATGGGGAATTGGTTCCAGGGCCCCCTCATGTGCCAAAATCCAAGGATGCTCAAGTCCCTTGTATAAGATGGCATAATATCTGCGTATAACCTGCACACATCCTCTCCTATACTTTGTCATCTCTAGATGACTTATAATACTGAATACAATGTGAATGCCATGTAAATAGTTATAAATACAATGTAAATGCTATATAAGTAGTAGCTGGTATGCAGCAAATTTAGATTTGCTTTTCGGAATTTCCTGGAATTTCTTTTTTCCCCTAATATTTTGATACTAGGTTGGTTGAATCCGAATATGTGGAACCCACAGATAACAGAGTCTCCTCTGGGGGGAGAAATGAAACATGGCTGAAGCTGTAACTGGCAAAAAAGCAGCTACTACTCATTTTAGCTGAGAGGGACCTGTTCAGAATTTATGGTTTGCATAGTAACCTTGTTTTTGTCTGCACTTACACAAGATTATAGACTCTGTCTTACTTCATCACAGTCACAGATTGGCCTTGTCTGGCATGGGTGTTCTGAGGTTATGTTCAATGTGAGAGCACCATGGCCTAGATGTGAGGGCCAGCCCAGCTCTTAAAAACACCAAGGTCGGACTTCCCTGGTGGCGCAGTGGTTAAGAATCTGCCTGCTCAATGCAGGGGACATGGGTTCAATCCCTGGTCCGGGAAGATCCCACATGCCGCGGAGCAACTAAGCCCGTGCGCCTAGAGCCCACATGCTCTGCAACAAGGGAAGCCACTGCAATGAGAAGCCCGCACACCGAAACAACGACCCAACACAGCCAAAAGTAAAAACAAATTTATTTAAAAAAAAAGTCAGGAAGTTCCAATGAATCCAAGAGTCACACACACAAAAAAAGAAGTACCCAAATATTGATTGTGGTGGTGATTTAACCGGTGTGTACATGTCAAAACTTATCAAAGTGTACACTTTGCAGTTTGTTGGCTGTCTATTGTATACGCAGCTTATGGTAACTCAATTACACCTCAGAAAAGCTGTTACCAAAAAAGAAAAAAAAAAAAGGTGAACTGAAGCTCCACCGCACCGTGATTTCTGTTTGTTAGGCTAGAGTTCCTCCTCGTTTACACCTCTACACCTCGGGATTTTGTGACACATCTCAACACTTGACCGACAAGGCCTCTTCCTGAGTCGGTGGACTGCGCCCTTCTGCTCCTAACCAGACGTCACGGGGCTGGTACAAGGTAGCATTCAGTTTCTTAAAAAAAGAAAAGAGAAAACATGACTTTATTCTTTCATACTAGTCGGAAATTATTATGTTCAGTCCTTAGTCACGCGGCGTCGCGGAGTCACTGCGTTGGGGTTCCCCAACCGTCATAAACTTGCTGTCGCGACCCGAGTAGGCGGACCCCCGCCGCAAGCGCTCCCCGGAGATGATGGCGCGGCGCTCGTGGGCCATCCGGGGGCGGGGTCGACAGCGCAGGCGTAGAGAGCCCGCCTTGTTCCGGGCCCCAAGCTGCCGGAACCGGAAATAGCGCCCGGCGCCGCCAAGATTGCCGTAACTGCCACCGCGATGCCGAAGGGGCCCAAGCAGCAGCCGCCGGAGCCCGAGTGGATCGGGGACGGAGAGACCACGAGCCCCACAGGTGAGGCTGGTAGGCAGGGAGGGAAGGAGATAGGAAAGAGAAGAAGAGAGAGAAGTGTGTGCGTGTCTTAGGAGAGAGTCACGGGGCGCGAGACTGACCGGGCCGCGCGAGGGCTACTGCGCATGCGTTCAGTGGGGCCGGGAAGAGTTTGCCCTGGCAGGAGGGCTTTTGGGGTGCTGGCGAAAGAAGAGGTGCCGGGGTGTCACGCAGGAACTTCAGTAAGACTGGGAAAGAGACGAGGAAGAGCTTATGGTACCGAGGGAGAGATGGGGAGAACTGAGAAAGTCCTGTTTTCTTCTCATTTGGACATCTTCCCTACCACACGGTATTCCATATCCGGCACTTACATATTGATATAAGTTGTGCCTCGACCTCCTCTCTCGCGCGCGCGCGCGCACACAAACACATACACATTCTCACACTCACCCGTGGAAACCATCATCCCACCTGCTTCTTAAGAAAGGATGACTCCTTGCGCTCTTTCGTAAGACACCTTTCTGACTCAGTTGGAGCAAGAGCATAGACACTGGGTGTTGGAATGGAGGATTAAGGTTTACTTAAAAGCAGCGGATGTTTATGGAGCACCTGTTTTTAATTATGCAGCGTGAATGCTGTGCTTTGGGGAGGGGAGAAAAAAATGCGAAGACATCCTACCAGGCTTGAAGGTACTTCAAGAGGCAGATAAAAATGGATACAAATAATTATAGTAGGTATACAGTGACTAATTTTACAGGCATTTATTGGATGCCTACTTTGTACCTGGTGCTGTGCAGAAGAACTGGAGGTGTAGGGATGAAAGATAAGCCTTGCCTATCGAGAAGGGGCAAGCCTAGTGGAGGGGACAGAGCATTAATCAGACAGAGGCTGACAGAGTGTGATGAATGTGTTGAGAATGCTATGGGACTAGAAAAGAGAGGGGCAACATCTATCAGCTAGGGCGGGAGTGTCAGCAAAGCCTCCCAGGAATATGTGATAGCCGAGTTCGTTCTTGAAGGATCAGTGTGAGTTAGCAAGGGGAAGAACATCCTAAGCAAGCAGAGGGTGCAGTTAGTGCAGAGGTAGAGGTGCCGTTGAGCCTGGCTGGTTCCCAGTATTGTGTGACTAGTATGATGGGGTTGGAAAGACGTGTGGGAGACAGATAATGAAAGGTGTTATACACTACTCCAAGGAACTTAGTCCTAAAAACATTAAGAAGGAGGACCCATTGAAGTGCATAAGGAATGGTTGGAGGGAGGGAGACCATTTAGGAGGCTCTGGTAATGATCCAGGCGAGAAGTGGTAAGAGAGTAAGCCAGGGCATTGACTGGAACTGGGAACCAGCTAAATCAAGGGAGAAGAATTAAGGCTGACACTCACTTGAATACTGCAGCGGTTAGTAGGCTATTTATTGAAAGCAGTAGTGGGCTGTAGAGTGGGGAGCGGGAAGAGGTAAGGTCAGCTTTTGAATGCTGAGTTGGAGATTTCTGGGGAATTTTAAGAGGAGATGGCAAGGAGAGAGTTTGTTCGGTGGCTGTGGAGAGAGCGCTGGACTAGGAGTAAAGACACAGGTGAGTGTAGTTGTACGGGGCATCCCCTAGAGAGTGTATGCAGATTGAAGCGAAAAGACGTAGAAGGTGGGAACCCAAAAGAACCTCAACAATTAAGGGAAGTAAGGTGGAGAAGGAGGCTGAGGAGATGAGACCGAGAAAGGAGAGCAGCCAGAGAAACTAGAGGCAGACCAGCAGCAGCAGGATCCCTGACGCTAAGTAACAACAGGAAAGGAGAATTAAAAGGATGAGGAGGTAGGTAGCATGGAATGTTGCCAAGTAATCACGCAAAATAAGGACTACAAAGAAACCTTTTCGGGTTGAACAACTAAGGGGACAGTGACAGCTTTAAGAAAAGTAGTATTCATTAGAAGATGACAGCTGAATCAGGTTGCAGTATATTCAAAAAGGAACGGGAGATGAGGAGGTGGAGCTAGCGTGGACTGCACTCAGACTCAATGAAGACAGGATAGAAACAGTAATTGGGGGAGGAGATTGTAAGGTTACGGAAAGTGCTTTACTTGGCTTTGAAATTAGGAGTCACTTCAGTGATGTACTTACTAAGGGGAGGAGCCATTAGAGGGGGAGATGTGGAGGATACAGCATAGCTTTAGCCACACTTAGCCTTTTCCTGTTCCTTGCTGATAATACTTTCTCACGCTTGAACCTGTGCACAGGCTTCTCTCCCTAGGGTCAGGAGGTGTGGTTGTGTTAGTCCTTGGAGATACTTAGTGTCTAAGTCACTCTCAGTGTTGTCAGGGTGAGCTGATCATGTCATTCCTTCTCGTGTACTGCAGTGGGTTCTCCTTCTTAATGGCTTTAGGGTTAGACTCCGTGGAATAGCTTATAAAACCTTTCATTATCTTCTGCACATCTTTTCAGCTCCATCACGCTAGTCACCCAATATGGGGATCAGATTTTGAAATGTGTTCAGGATGGAGGTCACAGATGAAGCAAAGACAGGCATAAGCGTGCCTGGGAGTTAACCAAGGAGCGGGGAGAAGCCAGTGTCCAGAACACGGGTATGGTTAGGGAAACAGAGATAGCAGACAAGATAGGATGCGCCCTTTTAGTCTGTGAGGTCCTAAGTTATAGCGATTGTCCTTTATTATCTCCAGTTTTTGACACTGTAGATGCTCAGTATCTGAATAAATGATTACTATGGACTAGGTGGAAATCTGGTGTGAGAATACTCAATGTGGTAGATAGCAGAAAGCCTTTGTTTTGGGGTTTTTTGGGGAAAAAAACCCCAAGCGATTGCAGGAGTGCTTTTGGATAGAATTGGGTAGCAGTGGGTGGATGGGATGGTTGGGAGACGAATGTGATAGTGGACAGGCCTGGGCGTGGAGGGAAGTCACGAGGCTGCTGGCTGCCTCCCAGTCTGATGTGGGAGGGAGTTAGACCTAGTCCCCTGCCTTCAGGGTAGTGGGGATGGACAGAAAGGAGAAGCTGGAATTTGTTCAGTCAGTAAACTTTTATCGACTTCCCACTTTGCTTCCTGGGAACACGAGCTAAGTAGTCTCAGGTCGCTCTCTAGGATGAAGGACTGATGCCCAATCAAGTACAATCACGGCTAGTGACTTGTGCTAGAAGTGCTAGTGGAGCAGGTGCGGCATAGACCCAGGTTCTTGTTGACTTACTAGATGGCTGTTTCCGTGGCCTGTAGGTTCCAAAAATGACATATCCCCAACTGAATTCATATTTTTGTTCTACCTTTCTCCCGCACGGGTGGTAGGGGTGGGGAGAGGGGTCCTTCTCTTCCAGTATATCCTGCGTTAATCAATGGTACCACTAGCCCAGCTAATTTTGCCAGCTAAAAACATTGCAGTCATCTCTGAATACTCTTACTTCTCACCTCTGCCATCACCCTGTGGATTCTCCTTCTCTGCTTCCCACTGCTACCCTAGACCAGCCACCATTGTCTGTCTTGTGGCCAGTGTCTTGTGTCTGTGGCCAGTGTCTTGTGTCTGTCTTGTGCCAATGTCTAGGGAGCGGTAGTTGAGCTAGAAAAACAGTAAATAGGGTGGGGACCACTGAGAGCTTGGCAGGAGAGATCAGAGTGCTTTGGAATTTGCAAATCATCGTTCACAATGTCTGCTTAACCTTCTAGACAAAGTGGTGAAGAAAGGGAAGAAGGACAGGAAGACCAAAAAGACGGTGAGGAGAGAGGACTGTGGGTGTTTCTGAGCAGAAGGTGGCCCTTTGAAGGCGGTGGGGGCCCAAGGGAGGGGAAGAGGTCTTGTCAGGAGAGGGAGCAAGGTGGGATGGAGTGGAAGGTCCCTGGGCTCGTGTGTGGTGGTGAAGGGCTTGGTTGGTTTCTGAGCCATGTTTACCTAGATCTTAACTCCCGTTATAGTTCTTCGAAGAGCTGGCAGTAGAAGACAGACAAGCTGGGGAAGAAAAGAAAGTGCTCAAGGAGAAGGAGCAGCAACAGCAGCAGCAGCAGCAGCAGCAGGTACAGGTGTCAGGGGACCCACCACTACATGGAGGCATCCATGGGTCCGCCAGCCCCTCTGCAGCCCACACTGGTTCACTCAGCTGACGGGGAGCGCTCTCGGGAGCAGAGATACATCAGCGGCCTGGGCTTCATTCTCTCACTGTTTGGCTTTCAGCAGCAAAAAAAGAAGCGAGATGCTCGAAAAAGCCGTCGGAAAAAGGATGTGGATGATGACGGAGAGGAGAAGGAGCTCATGGAGCGTCTTAAGAAGCTCTCAGTGCCGGCCAGTGATGAGGAGGATGAGGGTAAATGTCCCGAGGGGAAATGGGTACCTGGAACCCTTTAGTCATGAAGAGTCAGGAGCTGCATTCCTTGCTTGTGGAGTTGGATTAGATTAAGGAGCAGGACATTGTAATTCTCACCTTCTCCCCTTGTCATTTCAGCACCTGCCCCAGTACCCCGAGGAGGGAAGAAAACCAAGGTAAGCCATCTGTGTGGTAGACAGAGACCCCAGGGGTGCAGCCTTGACCATCCCGCTGACTTCTCTGGCCCTTTCATTCTCCAGGGTGGTAATGTTTTTGCAGCCCTGATTCAGGATCAGAGTGAGGAAGAAGAGGAAGAGGAAGAAAAACATCCTCCTAAGCCAGCCAAGCCAGAGAAAAATCGGATCAATAAGGTGATAGTGGTGGCTCTGCCAGTCACTCCCACCCCGTGTAGCACCTCTGGCCACAGTGTGGTAATTTCCCGGCTTCTTTTCTTGCTTTTCAGCTAGCCCTTCTAGGCCAGTCTTGCTTACACTGTCAGAGTCAGCTTTTTAAAATACTCTTCATCACTCGGAAATTTACAGTGATCCTGTTGCTTTCAAACTCCAAATATAAAACAAAGGCCTTTGGGTCTTTGCCCTTCCACCTGGACCCCTCTGCAGGGTTACTTGGGACTTCTCCATGTATACCTTTCAGATTAGCCTGATCACATCTTGGCATCCAGCTTGACTGTGTGTTGAAACCTTTGTTCTTTATGCCTTCTCTTCCCTCTTCCTAGAACACCTTCACTAAGCCCACATCCATTACCTCGTCTCGAGATGTGTCCTCTTGAGGAAGCCCTCCAGTGCTAGGGCCATCTCACCCACGTGGCTCACTTGCCTGTGTCACAGTCCCTTAGCTGTAGACTAGGGTTTTGCTGGGTCTCATTTTCTCCTTGGCAGACTCAGTATAGTTAACTGCTACTCCTAGACCCCCTAGAAACACTCGTTAAGCTACAATATAGCAAATTAATTTGTGTGTGTCTGTATGTGTCTTCTCCAGGCTGTATCTCAGGAACAACAGCCAGGGCTCAAGGGCAAAAAGGGAAAGGAGGAGAAGTCAAAGGGGAAGGCCAAGGTGAGGGAGTATAGGCAGGAGGAGGGGCTGGGTCTCAGGAATTAGAGCATTTCATCAAACTTGCTGTCTTTTCCCTGGTAGCCTCAAAATAAATTTGCTGCTCTGGACAATGACGAGGAGGAGAATGAAGAGGAAATAACAAAAGAAGAGGAACCACCCAAGCAAGGGAAGGAGAAGGCCAAGAAGGCAGAGCAGGTTTGTATTTTGGTGTTGGGGGAAGGTGGGCTGAGGGACTAGGACTCTGTGGCCCTTGGGCAGGGGGCAGGATCTGGGGGTGCTCTTACTCTCCAGAGCAGGAGTTGGCAAACTTTTTTTTTTTTTTTTGTCCCTGCCACGTGGCTTGCGGGATATTAGTTCCCCAATGAAGGATTGAACCCGGGCCCATGGCACTGAAACTGTGGAGTCCTAACCACTGGACCACCAGGGAAGCCCCAGGCAAGCTTCTGTAAAGGGACACATAATAAATATTTTTGGCTTTGCAGGCCATACAATCTCTGATGCATATTCTTCTTCTTTTCTATTTTTGGAAAAATTCCTTGAAAGTGTAAAAACCGTTCTTAGCTCAAGGGCCATCATTGGCAACTCCTGACCCAGAGAGGAAATGCTGCGGGCGTTAGCCTCAGTCAGTCTGAGCTCTGGCTCTTGCCACCACTCACTGTGTGACCTTGAGTACATTTTTCCATCTCCTTGGGTCTCAGTTTCCTCATCTGTGTGATCTAGTGATGTCTGAGCTCCCTCGTACTGTTAGCACTTGCTAGTTCTGATTTTACTGGATTTCTCAGTGACTGTATGCTAGGGCTTCTAGACCTTTCCCCTGCATGTTAATGTGTAGGCCACTGATACATGAGAAAAAGAACCTCATATAACTCTCAATTACACAGTATTGGCAGTTATATAGTTACAGGTACACATACATTATTACGTTTCATACATAAATACTCATACCATTTCTGGTGGCAAAAATGGATATAGGGCTGCAAGGAGAGCAGGGCGAGTATGAGAATGGGAGCGGATTCACCAGTGTATTTCAGGACCCTGGTGGAGAGAGACAGAGCTGACTGTGGAACTGGGGGTACGTGATGTGAATTCTGAGTTCTAGAAGGGGTCCCTTGTTTTTACTATGCCCTGGTTCTCACAGGGCTCAGAGGAAGAAGGAGAGGAGGAGGAGGAGGAAGGGGAGTCCAAGGCTGATGGTCCCTTTGCTCACCTTAGCAAGAAGGAGAAGAAGAAGCTGAAGAAACAGGTAAAACCTTGGGTTCTTGGTGGTCAAAGGTGGGAGAACCTGATTTTTTTTTTTTTTCCCTTAATGCTTCAAGTAGGGGACATGTGAATTAGGGGACAAGAAGGAGCGCTTTGGGTGCTCTGTCAAGTAGAACAGTTGGAGTAAGGAAATAACTGCTCTCTGTGAGCCTTGTCTCGGTGTCTGGTGATGTGGGGCTGTATTGTGGTGATGGGAAAGTGGCAGGCAATAGCCTCAAATGTGATTTTTCCTTCCTTCTCAGATGGAGTATGAGCGCCAGGTGGCTTCATTAAAAGCAGCCAGTGCTGCTGAAAATGACTTCTCCGTGTCACAAGCAGAGGTGTCTTCCCGCCAGGCCATGTTAGAAAACGCATCTGACATCAAGGTAAGGTCTGAGGGGTCCCCTCTACCAGCTTACCCAGGGACATGCCACTTCTCACCTTCCCCTGAGTGGCCACGGCAGCCGAGGAAGTGGGTATGAATGGGAAGTCCATTGGGAAGAAAGCTTGGAGCCGTTCTCTACACCTTGAGTTCTGCCAACTTGAGTGAGAAGATAGAAGAGCCAGCATAAGGGTCCACCCTTGGAGGGAAGCAAGGCGGGACAGGCTGGCCGAGCTTAGGATTTGGAGACTCCGATTAGAGGCAGTGGTTGGGGAAGGGGCCGGTGTGGTGAGAAGAGGGGGCTTCCCTGCAGAGAGAAAGCAGAGAGAAAGCTGCAGCTGCTATCTGGAAGGGAGAGTTCTCATGTGCTTGCTCCTTCCCTGACACCTGCAGCTGGAGAAGTTCAGCATCTCCGCCCACGGCAAGGAGCTGTTTGTCAACGCAGACCTGTACATTGTCGCCAGCCGCCGCTATGGATTGGTGGGACCCAATGGGTGAGGAGAGGAGGGGCTGGAGCTGTGAGAGGGGCGGGGCTGGAAGGAGAAGAGACTTCTCTGAGGCAGCCTGGTCCTAAAAGCTCTCATCCCCCAGCAAGGGCAAGACCACTCTCCTCAAGCACATCGCCAACCGAGCCCTGAGCATCCCTCCCAACATCGACGTGCTGCTTTGTGAACAGGGTGAGGCCGCTGGTGGGAGAGGGGCTTGATGGGGAGGTGAAACCGAGGGGCCTGAGGGGGGCCGCCACTGGGGTACAGGAGCCAACCAAGAATAGAAGAAACTGTGGTTGTAGAGCTGGAAGGGTTATGTGGGGAGACTGGGGACTGGGAAATGGTGCTAAAGAAGGGGGAGAAGAGATGAGAGACTGGAGAGTATTTTATTTGGAACAAGTACAAAGAGCTGGGCAGGGTCAGGCAAACCAGAAACAGCTATAGGGAAGAGGGAATAGGAGGCTTGGCCCTTGGGGCACCCTGACTTCTCCCCTGCCCCCAGAGGTGGTAGCCGATGAGACGCCAGCCGTGCAGGCTGTTCTCCGAGCCGACACCAAGCGCTTGAAGCTGTTGGAAGAGGAGCGGCAACTTCAGGGACAGCTGGAGCAGGGTGATGACGCGGCTGCCGAGAGGCTCGAGAAGGTAGAGGAGATGGCGCAGGGGACACGGGCTAAGACTGGGGGCTCCTGGGACCTCGCAGCATGTGTCCTCTTCTCCCTCCTCCCAGGTGTATGAGGAATTGCGGGCTACCGGGGCGGCAGCTGCAGAGGCCAAAGCCCGCCGGATCCTGGCCGGTCTGGGCTTTGACCCTGAGATGCAGAATCGACCCACACAGAAGTTCTCGGGGGGCTGGCGCATGCGCGTCTCCCTTGCTAGGTGGGCCCCCCCTCACCACCCTCCCTTCCAGCACCGTCCACCAGGGCTCTTTCCCTTCTCCCCGTTCTTCCAAAGCCGTCTTCTCCCTCCCTTACTGTCTGCCTTGCCAGACTCAGGGTCTTTTCTCCCTACCTGGGGGTGTATTCTTTCTGTGTCTGCTGCCTGGGAACTGTCTAAGGAGAGGTTGGGAAGGAGTGTTCATGGTCTCAGGCTCCACTTACCAGAGGCTTCTCTGGGTCCTCTGAGCAAGGGTCTTCTTCCCCCTGACTCTGCTTTCTGCTGCCCTGCCCTCTAGGGCGCTATTCATGGAGCCCACGCTGCTGATGTTGGATGAGCCCACCAACCACCTGGACCTCAATGCTGTCATCTGGCTCAATAAGTGAGTAGCCCTTGATTACAGCCTTTGCATCGTTGGTTCGCATTCTGCCCTCGTTTCCTCTAGCTGGTCTCCACTCTGTCCTTGACACCTCTCACTCCAGCCCCCCCTCTTTCACTCCCTGCCCCCATGCTCTGTCTGCTTCCCCTGACTCCACCCTAACCTGGCCATTGTGACATTTCCACGCTCTTCTCTAAAACCCAGCTACCTCCAAGGCTGGCGAAAGACGCTGCTCATCGTCTCCCATGACCAGGGCTTCCTGGATGACGTCTGTACCGATATCATCCATCTTGATGCCCAGCGGCTCCATTACTACAGGGGCAATTACAGTAAGGAGGATCGTTTGCGGGCAAGGAAAGGGGTGGTTCCTGGAGAAAGGCCTGGGAGGGAGGGCCTGTAGGGTTGTGGTGATAATTCTGAGTCTTTCAGAATTCTAGACAACGACGCCTGCCCCCATCCTCCCCCGTCCTGCTGGGGAGAGGGACAACCATCGATGCCCATTCCCCTCTCTTGCCCCAGTGACCTTCAAGAAGATGTACCAGCAGAAACAGAAGGAACTGCTGAAGCAGTATGAGAAGCAGGAGAAAAAGCTGAAGGAGTTAAAGGCGGGCGGCAAGTCCACCAAGCAGGCAGTGAGCACCTGGGTCTTCCTGGGAGGACTCGGGCCCTGCCTGCCTTTTGAGGCCTTCTGTAAAGGGTGCAGGTGTCTCCTTCTTCCCCAGGAAAAGCAAACAAAGGAAGCCCTGACTCGAAAGCAGCAGAAGTGCCGGAGGAAAAACCAGGATGAGGAGTCACAGGAGGCCCCCGAGCTCCTGAAGCGGCCCAGGGAGTACACTGTGCGCTTCACGTTCCCTGACCCGCCGCCGCTCAGCCCTCCGGTGCTGGGCCTGCACGGTGAGCGGCCGCGGCCATGCCTTCCCTCCACACCAGGACATTCAGGGCACCCTCGGGGGACTCTGAAGAGAAAATAAAGTGCTTCTTTTCCTGGCCTCTCAGGTGTGACGTTTGGCTATGAGGGGCAGAAACCACTCTTTAAGAATCTGGATTTTGGCATTGACATGGACTCAAGGAGTGAGTTGGCAGGGGAGGCTCAGGAGCCCCGGGGAGAGTTTCTGGGGACCTCGCCTCTTTGACCTTTGTCTTCCTTCTGGCAGTCTGCATCGTGGGCCCTAACGGTGTGGGGAAGAGCACCCTGCTGCTACTGCTGACAGGCAAGCTGACGCCGGTGAGTCCGGGAGCCAGGAAGGGGGGACGGCGACGAGCGAGCGGAAGCGTGAGCACACGGCTCTTCCCCAGAGGCTGCAGTTGGGGGCCCCTCTGTGCCGTGGAGAGTTAAATACAGAACTTGTCATGGATGGTGCGCTTCCTTGAGAGGTGCTGTAGAGGAGGACGGTTTAGATCAGGCGGGGAGAAGAGCCAGAAGTGGGGCCAGGCTAGGGGCATGCCTCCCCACCCCCCATGTGTTTCGGTTATGCAAGAAATACATGCCCGTTGTAGAGTGGTTAGAAATTGCACAAGCCAGGGAATTCCATGGTGGTCCAGTGGTTAGGACTCAGAGCTTTCATTGCTATGGACCCGGGTTCAGTCTCTGGTCCGTGAACTAAGATCCCTCAAGCTGCACAGCACAGCTGGAAAAAGAAAGAAAAGAAGTTTCGTAAGCCAGAGCAAAATCCAGAGGTGACCAGTATTAATTTCGATGGATTGCTTTCTCCCTTTTTTTTCCTTTACAAGCGTGCATATAACTTTTTTTAACAAAGTGGCCTATCGTGTGAATTGTTCTGTGGCCAGCTTTTTCCAGATAATGTACATCAAGTGTTTTTCCGTGCCAGTAATCCTGTGTGTGCGTTCACTTCATATGGATCTACCGTAGTGTATTTGATGTCAGTCGTTTAGATTTTTCACTAAAGGACAAACCTGTAGTAAATAGTCTTATTATACCTGTTCATGAATTTAGTTTTCCTTAGGATAAATTCCCTGGAATTGCTTTGGGGACTTTTGTGGCGTTATGTAGTGCTTAGATGGGTTGTAGCCATCTGTCTGCCCTCCAAGAAAGTGTTGAGAGGGCCCGTTGCCTCACACCCACAGAGAGTATATCTTCAGAAAGGTGTTCTAGATCCTCACACAAACTGTCTCTTAATCCCCATCTGAGGTGGAACCCTGAAAACATCTTGCTGGAAGGCGGGGGTGGGGACGGGGGTCCTTTACTTGTGGTCAGTCTGCTCCTGGTTCTGAATCTCTGCTTTCTGTCTCCCCCTCCTTCATTCTCCTCTTGCTTCTGATTTCCTGGGCCTGCCTTGGTCACGTTCAGGAGACGCCCGTGTTCCCTTTCTCATGCTGGCTTGTTCCAGCTCGGTTCTGGTGTTTAGCTCCCCTTCAGAAAAGTTGGGGTGTGGAGCTGCAGCTCCTTTCCCCTTCCCCTTAGCTCCCCCCTTGATTTTTCCTTGCAGACTCGTGGGGAAATGAGGAAGAACCACCGGCTGGTAAGTGGCTTTGGGAATCAGGGAGTAAGAGGCTGACAGAGGAAGTATGACTTTGACCGACCACCTCCCTCTTCTCTCGGGCAGAAAATTGGCTTCTTCAACCAGCAGTATGCAGAGCAGCTGCGCATGGAGGAGACGCCCACCGAGTACTTGCAGCGGGGCTTCAACCTGCCCTACCAGGATGCCCGCAAGTGCCTGGGCCGCTTTGGCCTGGAGAGTCACGCCCACACCATCCAGATCTGCAAACTCTCTGGTACCAGGGGCCAGGGCAGGTGTCCCCGTCCTTAGCCTTCATACCTGCAGACTGTCCCTAGAGGCAGGAGGAAAGAGGAACTGGGACTTGGGGGACCTCACTGCGTGTGCACACGCGCGCACACACACATTCAGGGTTTACCTGCAGAAATGTCAGGTGGTGAAAGGTGTGGTGGATCTCCTTTCCCTTTGCTACAGGTGGGCAGAAAGCCCGAGTTGTGTTTGCAGAGCTGTCCTGTCGGGAGCCCGATGTCCTCATCTTGGTGAGTGAGCTGGACTGCAGGGCTGGGGCAAGGGTGACAGAAGGGAAGGGTAAGAGCCGTAACTCTCAGTCACGGGATGCCTCCTCCCCCCTAGGACGAGCCCACCAATAACCTGGACATAGAGTCTATCGACGCTCTTGGGGAGGCCATCAACGAATACAAGGGCGGTGAGTCAGCTCAGGGCGCGCCCTCCTCCTCCCCGCCTTGGGGACCGGGCTGTGGTGTCTTTTCGGCTGGGCGCCCTCCTCTCAGGTTCTGATCCCCCTCTTCCTCCTTCCTCTCTGCCCTCCATTCTCGCCATCTTTCTTCAAAGCTGTGATCGTTGTCAGCCATGATGCCCGACTTATCACAGAAACCAGCTGCCAGCTGTGGGTGGTGGAGGAGCAGAGTGTTAGCCAGATCGACGGCGACTTCGAAGACTACAAGCGGGAGGTGTTGGAGGCCCTGGGGGAAGTCATGGTCAGCCGGCCCCGAGAATGAGCTTTCCTTCCCGGACATCCCCTCGTCTCCTCTCCACTCGGAAGTCTGCTCTGGTCTGCAACTGGCGCACTAGCTACTCGGGTACATGAAGGCGGAGTGTGGTCTTGATGTGACCAGGATACCGCTTCGATTGCTTCCTCTTCTCTGAAAGACTTGTCTGATTGCTCTCTTCAGATAACTGAGCTGGCCTTGTTCTTGAAATCCCTGTGTACAAGCAGAGGTGATTGTTATGGGGTTCCATCCAGCCAAGCTCATGTGGCCAGTTGTCTGAGACTCTGTCCTCAGAAGCCTGCGTCTGGTCTGCCTCAAAGCTTCAGGCCCAGCTGCTGCCCTGTTCTGTGAGTGGTGCTGCTTTTTTCTGGTGGATTTAATGCTGACCTAACTGATACAAACAGCTGGTGCAGCTCAGAGCTGGAGGAGAGTTCTGAGGCCTGCGCTGTCATCCAGAATTTGGTGCCTGCAGTCTCTGGTTGGGGACTTGGGGGCAGGAAAGGAATGCTGCTGAACTCGAATCACCCTTTACAAGGGGAAGAAATAAAGGAAAGGAGTTGCGCCGCCCTGTCACTGTTTGGAGATTTCGTGGGAGCTGGAACTGTTCTTACTCTTGATTTGCTTTGTTCAGTTTACTAGCAGCAGTTAGTATCCTCTCTTCCCCACCAGTACAGGTGGGTCTAACTTGCAGTCTTACCGCACTTTAGGTGGTGCTCACTGTTTGAGGAGCCTCCCTCCCTTCCCACAGCCCTTCCGACAAGGACAAAGGAAAGTGGGTCATCCCTTCCAACTAGGACACTCGGGTTTCTCACTATCCAAGCTCCGCCCTGGTATCAGGGACCAGAGACCTGATCCTCCCAAAAGTTACTAAATCAGCCAACATGTACAGCACCGTGCAGTATGCAAGAAGGGAAGAGACAAGGTCTGCCTTCATGAATAGTCTAGATAGAGAAGACTTAGAAAGTAAGACTTGAGTGTATAGCGTGATACAATTAATTGCCAAATGTGTGGTGCTGTAGGTTCTAAGTTGCCTTGAGCTCATAGAAGAGAAAGATTATCTAGAACTTGATTATTTGGCGGGATCACTTGAGAGCGGACTTTGAAAAAGTAAGGATTTTTTTTTTTTAATTATTTCTTTATTGTTGGCTGTGTTGGGTCTTTGTTGCTGCGTGCAGGCTTTCACTAGTTGCAGCGAGTGGGGCTACTCTTCGTTGTGGTGTGGCAGCTTCTCGTTGCAGTGGCTTGTCTTGTTGTGGAGCACGGGCTCTAGGTGTGCAGGCTTCAGTAGTTGTGGCACATGGGCTCAGTAGTTGTGGCTCATGGGCTCTAGAGCACAGGCTCAGTAGTTGTAGCACACGGGCTTAGGTGCTCCACAGCATGTGGGATCTTCCCGGACCAGGGCTTGAACTGGTGTCCCCTGCATTGGCAGGTAGATTCTTAACAACTGCACCACTAGGGAAGTCCCAGGATTTTAGTAGTGAGGAACAGGGAGCCATTTTTGGAACATAGGAAAAGAGCAGGTCTAAGGCAGATCTAAAGAAGAAAGAACTATTTGAGAGTTAATGAGAGAACATGGCTGGTGTGGCCACTTTTCTTATTAGAGTTAGATTGGAGAGATGGGTTTGGAAAGTAAAACCCAAGTGGCAAGTGGTTGGTTGGTGGTGATTTCAGGTAGTGATGGGCAAGGTGGACTTTAGAGACTTACGGGATGGGCCCCAGAACTTTCGCTGTGGGGATGAGCTAATAAATCCTGAATTAGGATACGAGAGAGAGGGATACAAGGCAAGGACAGATGGAAAGAGCCAGGTGTGGGAGTTGGAGAGAGGATGGTCAGATGTGTGCAGTTCCGGGGAAAATATGAAGAACCATTTAAGATTTACTAAGTTGGGATGTCTAATTTGGGGAAGTTATTTTCTGGCCAAATAATACTGGACCTCAATTATGAGTTTTACGCTAAAAGTGAAGGTTTGGTGTGAAGGTGATTGAAGAGGCGCCGTTGGGTACATCTCCAAGTTAGATCTAAAGGAACACCCCTTATGGAATTTGAGGGAAAAGCATCAGGGTCTTGTGCCAAGCAAGATGTTACATGTGAAAGTATTCTCCACAATTCCACAAAGCAGGTGTGCCGTAGAACAGTGGGAGCAGGCTTCAAGCCCACTACGAGTGGGGTGACCTTGGACTTAGCCTCTTGGTACCTGTTTCCTCATTTGTAACATGAAGGTGATAAAAAGCCCCTACCTCACAAGGTTATTAAGGGATTAAGTAATTATTTGTGAAGGGCTTTAATGTTTTTTTTTTTACTTTTGTTACATGTATTTCATGTACACTCTACACTTTGCACTTAAATTTTTCAGTTCAGTAGTCTAGATGAGATGTTACACAAAATAGTTGAGAATGTTGTTTATAAAATGAACACCAACATTTTGCATTTTAAGTGTTTGGTCGCTGATTTCACTACAAATACTTCAGATGCTCCAAAATAACTTCCATCCATGGGCACAAGTTTTCTTTCTTTCCTCAATATATATACTGTAATAATGCACTTTAAATATGGGCAAAAGAATTACACTTCTTCAAAAAGAGCAGCACAGAAATGGAGCTCGAAAGGAAAACGTTACACGCTTACACAGGAGCACAGCATGTGGGTAACCCAAAGCCTGGAAATGGAATTTAGTTAACGATTAAATACTTTTATTTATGACAGCCTTTGTCACCTACAAATCATGCACTAATATGGTTCATAATGAGCACCATAGAAGTGTTATAAAAAATTACTTACTCTTCTCCACACCTTCCTAATGAGGAAACAGACTCAGAGACGCTGACGTACCCATGGTCACCCAGCCTGGAAAGGAGAGTTCCTGGGATGGGGGCCCTGGTTTTCTGATGCCAGTGCCCTGGGCGTCCTCCCTTATCTGTAGAATATGGACAGGATGACCAAAGGATGAGTCCTTGAGGGGCATGAGAGCCAAGGCAGGAGTGTGTTTTAGGAACATGTGAGAGACGTTTTAGGGAAGTCTGTCAGCACTACAGTGGGAAAGATGAAAGTCAGGAAGGAGCCCTGTGGCCATACACAACTCAGAGGAGGCCTGGGAATGTGAGAAGTTGCCCTTGTGCTGCCGGTGCTGGTGCAGCAGCTGAGACGCTTGAACTGGTGGTTGCTCTAGGGCAGTGGTTCTCAGCGTGTCCTAGACCAGCGGCAGCGGCGTCACCTGGAGTTTGTTAGAAGTGCAAAGGTAGGAACTCAGTGGTGCCTTTGGAGCGTGTCACAGGAAACATGGTGTTAGGAGAGAAAGGGTAGGGGTCACCTTTAGCTTGAGTGATTAGGGAAGACTTCTCAGAGGAAGTGACATTAATTAAAACCAAGGCCTGTAGGTGGAGAAGGAACCAACTAGATGGGTGAGAAAGAGCCTTCAGCAAGGCACCAGAATGTGCAGAGGCTCAGAAGCTGGAAAGAGCTTGACTTGGTCAGGACCATGGCTTGAGCTTAGAGCTTGAGCAGCGGCCAGGACACATGGGGTCTTATAAACGTTGATAGGGAGTTGGGATATGGTTCTAGGAGTAATAGAAGGCAGTGTGTACGCAGGAGTGTGAATTGACCTGGTTTTCATTTTCACAAAATTGCTCTGGCTGCTGGGTGAAGAGTGGTGGGTGGGAGGGAGACAGGAAGAGGAGATGCCAGGAGAGGCGAGCAGGAGGAGATATCCTCCTTCCTCTAAGAAAGGAAAGGAGATAATGTAGACTCATATTTTCAGGTGAAGAGAAGGGGAAATGGTGCTCACGTAGGATGGGGCTCACTTTCTCAGGAGATTTGGTGCCAGAGAAGGGAGAGGAGTTAGGAGTTGCCAGGCAGCAGTGAATGTTGAGTCAGTGCTAGTAATTTGTACTGGGCCAAGATGGTAGGATTTTGTGGGTTTTCAACATTATACTTACTGCCTGGGAGCAGGAATGGGAGAAATAGAATAATGGTGATTCAGAATTGGAGACTGCACTGGTGTGCTTGGGGAAGGGTTGACAGAAAAGTCAAAAGTTAATAGGTTATTTAGGGGTGGGGGTGGAAATGGAATAAGAAAGGAAGAACAGACCAACTGAAGCAGTCGGGAGAGGTGTGCCTGCAAGGCTTGGTGAAGAAACAGAAATGGGTCAGTGGGTACAGTGAAATGGATGAGATGCTCAAACTGTCTCCCTGCCCAAAAAAAAAAGAAAATCTAAGTAACAGGTAATTTGGATTTTCATGGAGAATTTGAAAAAAAATGGCTGAACTCATTTTTAAATTAAAATAGAAAAAATTAAGCTCTCTGTAAAGGTTCTTGTGGCCTGTTGCAGGAGGTGGAGGGAAGAAGGTGAGAAGCAGCAGTAGATGGAACCAGAAAGAAAGAAACACAAGTTAAAGAATTTTTTTTTTTTAAATTATTTTTGGCTGCGTTGGGTCTTCGTTGCTGCGCCGGGCTTTCTCTAGTTGCGGCGAGCGGGGGCTACTCTTTGTTGCAGTGTGCAGGCTTCTCATTGTGGTGGCTTCTCACTGCAGAGCCCAGGCTCTAGTCGCACAGGCTCAGTAGTTGTGGCTCGCGGGCTCTAGAGCGCAGGCTCCATAGTTGTGGTGCACGGGCTTAGTTGCTCCGCGACATGTGGGATCCTCCCAGACCAGGGCTCGAACCCGTGTCCCCTGCATTGGCAGGCGGATTCTTAACCACTGCGCCACCAGGGAAGCCCAAGTTAAAGAATTTTAAACTTTTTTTCACTTGAGTTGTGTACTTCATTGGTATTTCACCTCTTAGGTTGGCCCTTAGATTACATCTTTTCAGGACCTCTCCGAGTGTGAAGAGCAACAGTAGGCTAACTGAACACCCTCTTTCCAGAGAAGGGGCAAAAGGGAAGATAAAATTAGCACCGCTGGCCTAAGTGTAGGTGGGGCCTGTGAGGTTTAGGAAGTTGCTCCCCTCTTGTGGCGAATCCTGGAAACAACAGCCAAGAAACGTGTTCTAGGGCCCTGTCTTTTCATTGTTTTCCAGATCAGCAGTCAGCAACACCTGGGAACTTGTTAGATATGCAAAATCTCGGAATTCGTCCCAGACCTGCTGAATCAGAAAATTTGCTGAACCCCACCCCCAATCTCTTTTAAAAGCCCTTCAGATGATTCTGAGGAACGCTGCAACTTTGGTAACCACCATTCTCAACCTATACCCCAATATCCCTACCTCCCTTTCCCTCTTCCCCCAAAATGTAATCTCCTAATTTCTGATTACAAGAATAGCAGAGCTTCCTATTTAAGGTTAATCCTCTCCCTCCATGTTCTGGACTCTAAAACCTCCTGTCTCCCCAGGAATCTTTCTTTTTTTTAAATATACTTTTTTTGGCCATGCCACACAGTTTGCAGGATCTTAGTTCCCCAACTAAGGATCAAATCCAGGCCCCAGCAGTGAAAGTGCTGAGTCCTAACCACTGGATCACCAGGGAATTCCCACCCCTGGGAATCTTGTTCCATCAACTAGGTCCTCAATACCTGTCCTTAAGGTCTAAAAATTATCTTGATCCTACATCTTCTAGCAGCAGGCCTATTTCTCTCTACCCTGCAGAGCCCCTTTTTTGGGGGACAAGCAGGATCCACCTATTTTTCCTTCCTTCCCCAGAAACTGCTCTTGGATTTTTCCTTTTTCAGGCACTCTTCCCTACTCCTCCCTTCTGCCTACCCTCATGTAAGTCCCTTCCCTAAGCTACTCCACAGGGCTGTAAGGATCAGCTAGAATGGATGTGCCTGCAGCTCAGGTGATCTGTGAGCGCTGCCTTCCCGAGCTGTGGCGTTCTGTATTCAAAGTACTCCTTCACCAGTATTTCACTTAACACCAACAAAGGGTTGAAAGCTACATTCCACAAAGGTTTGTATTAATGAACTTTCAACAACAGCTGATAATGGCTTTTTTCTTTTTAAACAGTCCAGGAACACCAGGGGTTAAATACTTCTCTTTCCACTGTTTATTATTAATGTACAAAATATACAAAACCAAAAGAAAAAAGAAAATACTCATCCTCAAATCCATTGTGGCTCTAACCCAAGACCCTGCACAAAACCCAACCAATCCACTGTTTTCATAGAAAACAACTGATGCTGAGACAGGTGAAGGAGAGGGCTGGGAGAGGGCAGGTCATCTCATCGAATCCACCCAGGAAGGCACCTGGTGGGGATTCAGAGGTGGCTGACTGACAGGGCAAGGGAGGGAGCTGGAGGCCTCACACCCACAAGGTTCCAGGTGGGGGCCAGGAGCACGCTAACTCCCAGAGGCAGTGCGTGTAGTGTGACTGGCATGCCCAGCACGCCGGGCTTCAGTTGATGAAAAGCTGGTCTCACTGAAGTATTTTAATTTCCAGAATGAGCTGCAGGCAAGGGTGGACCACCACCAATGGCCTCACCTATGCCAGCTAAAACTTTTCACCGGATGCCGATATGGATTTGCCATCATTGAACCTAGCAGACCCATGATGCAAACTTGGGTGTTCACGGAAGATTGCAACGTCTTACTTGAGAAAGGACTCAATGTAAAGCCTGTGTCAGGAGGAGTGGGGATGATGTGTTCCAGAACTCAAATCCAGCCTGATTTAGTCCTCTCAGTGCAGTGGGATACACAATACCCCTTTTACCATCTCCCCACCCCACGAGGAAGCATGAACTTGGCTGGGATGATTTCATAAGTGCAGCTGATCCCGTGTCAGAGTTCTGTGTGCATGTGGAGGACCCACAAGAGGAGAGTAGAGGTGTTCTCCAGGATAACCAGCTTTAGGTTCTCAGGCATAAAGGGTAATACTGGAGAGGCGCTTGGCATAAAGGGCAAATCTCCTCAAAAAGTGAAGCCAACTCGGTCTCCTCTTCAGCAGTCCAGGGTACAGAATGTGTCCAGTCTCTCTCCTCCCCAGACTGGAGGAAAATATGTACATCAATGCGCACCAGTGATCCGAAAACCCCCAGGAACCCAGGCAGGTGGGCACTGAGGGGGCCGGCTCCTCATCAGCTGGGGAAAGGGGACAATGGGCCTCACGGAAGCCATAAAAGGGTGGAAGGAGCAAGGCTGCAGTCCACAGGGGTGTGGGCGGGGTGGGCAGGTGGTCCCTAGGGCAGGGGGGGCCCATTGACACCCGGGTGGTAGAAGGCACAGTTGTTCTCATAGCGGCAGTTACCCTTCATCATGAAATGTCGACAAACAGGGCGATTTGACATGTCTGTGGGAATGATGGTGGAATAGTTAGATAGGAAATGGCCAAGAGGTCAATGCCACCCTCACCCCACCCATCCAAGGCATCCTGAGAACTGTCTTTCAGAGAGACCTAGTCTTGGGGACCTGGGGGAAGGGCTAAAGGAAGGAACTGCCATGCATGCTGGGAACGGGGTGACCTCATGTTCTGCCTGGCAGACCCGGGGTAGTGACGTTCCCCAGAAAGTTGTAATGGGACACCAAGAGCCATACGGGGGACAGGGAGCATCCTCACCTCCTCCATGGCTGTGGCCTCCATCATGCCCTCGGTGGCCTCCTCCGCCATGGCCAGGGCCATCATGGCCACGGTGCTCATGAGGGGGTGGCCCTCGATGGTCATGGCCTCGGTGACCAGGGCCATCATGAGGCCGGTGGCCGTGGGGCCCCCCATGTCCAGGGCCTTCATGGGGCCGATGTCCACCACCAGCACCCATTCCTCCACCAGGGCCTTCATGAGGACGATGGCCACTGCCACCACCCATGCTGCCGCCAGGGCCTTCGTGGGGGCGATGCCCACCGCCCATGCCACTGCCAGGGCCTTCATGGGGACGATGTCCGCTGCCACTGCTCATGCCCCCACCAGGGCCTTCATGGGGACGATGCCCACCACCTCCGACCATGCCCCCACCAGGGCCCCCTCTTCCATTTGGAGGTCCTCCTCCAGAGCGACCGCCTCTGGCCCCTCGGAATGGAGGAGGAGGAGGAGGTGGTTCACTCCCGCCTCGGCCACCACGGCCTCTATGGTATGGCCCCGGACCTGGTCCCCCACGCATCGGGCCACCCCGCATGGGGTCACCTGGGCCATCCCAGAAGGGATCAGACCCCCGGGGAGGGGGTGGGGGACCCAGGAGACGTGGACCCACTGGCCCACCAGGGCCCCCAGGGCCTCCATGGGGACCTTTTGGGGGGAAAAAAAAGGGAGAGAGACAGTATCAGCTACCTGTTGCACCCAGGGACCGCCAGCTCCCAACCCAAACCAACCCCCGGCTTTGGTCAATCCTGTACAGTTACCAGGCCGAAATCAAGCAGACAAACCCATTCCAACCTCTCACTCACCACCTACCTGGCATAGGTCCGCCAGGTCCAGGGGGGAAGTGCTGCATGCCCTTGGGGCCCCCAGGGCCTCCCGGTGGGAAACCATTGGCTATGGGACCAGGCCCTAAGAGTCCATGAGGCACTGTTAATGAAAAAGGAGTGAAGCAGTCAGCAAGATGATTCTAGAAGAGTGGCATGACGTCTTCCCGCTTAGGTGTGCCCAGCTGACCCCCTCAGACCAACCTGGCAGAGCACTGCCCTCTGTCCAGTCTTCCCCTCCCATGTCTTGCTGCCTAGTGGCAATACCCCTGCTCCCCCAAGTCCACTGCAGGCCTCCTCGCCCAGGCCCCAGGGCTGGCCCCGAGGATTACCCAGCATCTGCTTGATCTTGTCTGAATAGTCTGGTTGCTTCAGCAGTTCCTCTGAGGGATGACTGTTAGGGCTACCCTGTGAGGCAAGGTCATTAAGGGACAAGGTCAACAGAGAATAAGGGTAACACCCGGCACAGAAGGGAGAGCCCGAGGAGAAAGCAAGCGGGAAGGACAGCAGAACGGGAGTAAGGAGAAATGGAGACAGTGGGGAAGAAGAGGGAGGCTCGTACCATGATGGAGGTGAGGATCTCCTGCACATTGATGCCTCCTCCTCCAGGACCCTGGGGGCTCTTCCCGGCACCCATGCTTCCCATAAGATTGGCCAGAACAGGAGGCAACTTGGAACCGCCTGCCCCATCGGGTGAGCCACAGGTCCCCCCAGGCTCCAGGGTCTCAACATATGGGGTCTCATCCATGGAACATTCCTGAAATGACAGGAGAGAACAATCAGGACCAACAAGGATAAAGAGCCAGTCTCACATGAAAGATGCATTAATGTCAATCACAACCTCCATCACCACATAACTCACCTCATCTAGGGGGATGAGTTTGGGGGGGATAGGCTCATAGGGCTCAGGATCAGGCTCGTGAGGACTGTCAGGAATGCAGCAGGCGATAGAAAAAAAAAAAGAGTGACAGTCAAATTATTTATTCAAGCCCTTGATTTTCTTCCTAACCCCCACCCCCCTTCTAATTACCCCAGGGCACGTTCCCCTCGAGGGCTCAATACCTCAGGAAGTGAACCCCATTCTGCTCACCTTTCCTTGTTCAGGAAGAGCTCCTGAAGGATCCCCTTCTCCCGCTCAGCCTGGATGTACCGCTCCTGGCTGTTGCTTCCAGGGGTGACAAGAGGCGAGGGCAGCACCAGGGGCCGGGGGCACACCCAGGGCACCTTCTCCTCCATGTTGTCGTGGCTCAGACGCCGGGCCGTCTCAAACGCGTGTCGGTCTGACAGTATCTCTCGCTTAGCTGCCTCTCCGAAGTCCTTGATCTTATTCACATTCACTATTGCCAAGGAGAAAAAAAGCAAGAGGGAAGGTAAGCCCAACCAAGTCCTTTTTAAACTCTCTATACCCCACCTACTATAGAGGAAACTGGATCTCTAACCTCGTTCAGTTTCATCCAGTTCAAAATAGAAATACTCTCTCAGCTTGCCCTCCTCAGGCCAGGTCACAGTTTTCCTCTTCCTGCCTTTCCGGGTCAGCTGGCTAGGATCTCCGGGACTCTCCACTGGCTTTGCATCCAGAGCTCCTGGCTCCAAAGAGGCTGTAAACAGAAGTAGTTTCAGAGCAGATCCTTCCTTTCAGAAAACCCCGAAACCTGAACCAGTTTCTAGACTTACCAGTATCCATGAGCTCTGGGACTTCAACAGGGGGAACTGGGGTCCCTGGACGTTCTGTGTCCATAGCCTCAGAAGGAGGTGCTGGCTCTGGGGAAGAAGGTTTGGCTGTGCTCGGTTCTGTGCTCGTTTTCCCTTCAAATGGGCTTGGCTATTGTGAAAGAAAAAGAAATTAATGAGCTGACAGGAAAGGCAAGGCAATTAGTCCAGGGTCCTTGGCAGGATCCCCTAACAGTTCCTATAAAGGAAGACTGTCTCTAACAGTACTCTGCCACCAGTCTACGTCTGAGACACAACTCTTGTCCTCCCCGAGCATCCTAGCTGCTGGGCCCTTCCTTCACCTGTACCTTTTCTACCTGGTCACTGGCACCTACTGTGCAGCACCCATACCTTGGCAGCTGTGGGTGACAGCACCTTCTTCTTCTTCTTAATTTTGATGCCTGGAACAGGGGCTGAATTGAGCGCATCCAGAAAGCCGAGGCCCTCCATAGCTACAAAAGAAAAGAGCATAAAATGGAATCATCAGACCTTAATGCTATTCCTATACACAAAATCTGGGCAGAAAATTGGCCAATAGAGACCCTGCTTCAACTTTGGACACAATAAGCTCAAGGTGACCAGGAAGCATATGTAGGAGGATTCACACAAGAAATTATTGTCATTATTCTATCTTTCTTTTTAAAGGCAGGCAAGCGTGGCTTTGGATAGGAATCAGAGCTCAGGTAAGTGACAAAGTCAGCCCCCATGAACATGACGGCTGGGAGCGCACCCACCAGTCACTGAACAGCACCGCCTCCCTACTTCATCTCTAAAATCACTCCTAAGCAATCCTATCAAGGACTCCTAGGAAGGGAGTTCCAGGGGAGTAAACATTAAAGGACACCAAGAAACCAGATGAAAATGGAGGAAAACGCTTCATTTCCATGAAAAGAGTTTGCTCTCAATTCAAAGCACATCCCCCCACTTTGGACTCACGCTGTGGCGGGATGATCTTCACTTTGATCTCTTTGGTGGCATTGGGTGTTGTGTTGAGTGGCTTGTATTTCTTCTCTGCAGGGGGTGCAGCATCTCCTGGGGCAGCTGTGGAACTGTTAGAAAGGGACTGGTCAACAACACCTGACTCACCCCCTCTTTTCCCCTCATGTCCACAGACCCAACCCATTCAAAAACCAAGAACATGGTCCATACCTCTGACGCTTGAGGGGGATGGGTTTAAGGTTGTACTTGTCAGAAACCACCACTGCACTGGCATTCTTCTTCACAGGCACCAAAGACGGGGTCTCCAGCTCTAGTCCTGGGGGAGAAGACATGGTGTTGGGGCTGGACTCACTCCACACTCTCCTGACTCTTCCTCCCTTAACCTTCATCAAGCCCTATAAACTCCCACAATGCTCCACCCACTAGTCTTCCCTCTCTCCAGATTTATCGTACCATTAAGTCCAACTCTTCCACCATAAGGCCCGGGCTGTGCACCTACCCACAGACACTCCAGAGGCCAGACGGCAGCCTTACCGGTAGAGCGGAACTTGGCATGACTGGGCGCCGTGGTTCGGAGGGACTTGGGCTTCTCCCTCTTCTTCTCCGGGGCCTCCTCAGCCCGAGTCTCAGCCTTCACCTCAGTCAACGGTCGCTCAGGAGGGGTGGTTCGACTCTTTCCCTCTTCTTTCCGTTTCTTCTTATCTTTCTCTGTTGTGGAAAAACAGAGCAGAAAAGGATTTTATTTAGATAAAGAGAAAGACTGTCAGTCAGAGGTAAAAAGCAGGTTAGGGGCACGGAAGGCCACATCCCAGTGGGAGAGAAAGAAATACAAGGGATAAAGGGCCTAGCTGCTTACCAGCAGGCTGGGTACTGCTCTGGGAGCGGATCACAGCCATCCAGTCGCTGACAAGGACTGAGGCCAATTTCCGGAGCTCTGCAGGTGAGAGAAAGGGGAAATGCCTAAATAATGTAAGATACACTGAATCATGGAATTTTCCTCTATTCAGATAACTTTCAACCCTGATGCCATTATAACACCGGGCGGGGGGGGCAAAAAGAAGGAACATTTATTAAAGTATGTTGTAAAAACTACACTAGTTGCTTTGCATACATCTCACGTAATTGCTATTACAACCTGAACTTTTTTTTTTTTTTGCGGTACGCGGGCCTCTCACTGTTGTGGCCTCTCCCGTTGCAGAGCACAGGCTCCGGACTCGCAGGCTCAGCAGCCATGGCTCACGGGCCCAGCCGCTCTGCGGCATGTGGGATCTTCCTGGACTGGGGCACGAACCTGTGTCCCCTGCATCGGCAGGCGGACTCTCAACCACTGTGCCACCAGGGAAGCCCACAACCTGAACATTTTTCATCTCCCTTTAAGACACAGAAGCATGGAGATTAAAGTTACAAAACTAGAAGATGGCAGAACGAACCTAGTGCCTATGCTCTTCCCTTAACCACTTATTACAATAAAATAAGGAGAAAGGCAGAGGGGTTCAAGTATCCAAAGGGCTACCAGATTTTAAAAATTTCAAGGAGGCAGATTTAGATCCTCGTAAAAAAAAGATTTTCTAGGGAAACTTTTTTCCTAGGATATCACTAGTGATGACAGCTCTTAAAAGAATCAATTAAGTGTTGCAAGAGTGAAAAAAGAACTTAAAAACAAACCGATTTAGGATGAAGGAAGCAGAGTTTATCTAGAGAAAAAAAATGGTCAGAGAATTTAAAGATAAAAAACAGAATTTATTTCTAAATATATGGAAAAATGCATTTGTAGCTCTTTCCTTCTGTACTTGGCAAATAAAATCTCCTATCTATGGGACCTCTCTTCTTGCCAACATTTCCACTATGGGCTGATTTAATAATGAAATTGTTGTACAATATTAAAACTTAACTTTTTAAAACAGTCACACAACTGCCAACTCCTATACCTAATGCAATATGAACCCCAATGCCCAGTGGGGGAATATCCTGAAACCTCTTTGAAGCAATCGATACTATGGTCCAGTAAACTTAACTACAGTCAATAAGGAATGTACAAATTTCAGTATCTAAAGGAAGCACAGAATAATAATTAAACCTATACTCAAAGACGGCAACACAATTAAGCCAGCTGGAACAAGGACCAATATACCTCAGTGAAGAAACAAAAGATAGGCAATGATTTAATGGGATCTTCTGTGTTACAGTTTATCCTACAAAGCTACTCTGAGATGTCAGAAAAACAGTGAAGTGCTCATTATATAAAAGGACCTAAAAACAGAATTAATACAACTAAAAGAACGGAAAGCTAGGGAATGTTTTTCACTTAAACAATACTGTGAGTTAAAATAAAATCGTGATCCCCAGTGTTTTCTCCTCTAGCTAAACTTTCCAAAGGGACCTAGCATACCATTCCCCGTAGACAAAGAGCGGGGATCGGCTCTGCTACAATGCTGCTCACTTGCGGGAAACCAGTGTCGTGCTCACTGGTTTATGCCTTGGGTGTAAAACTTTTGGGTTAACTCTTGGATATAAACCCTTTTCTTCTCTAAAGAAAAGCCTGTGACTTTCTGGAGCCAGGCTTTGTCTTCAAGCCAGAACTCTATGCCCTTGCCAGGAGCTCCAAAACCCTTTGTCTTAGCAAAGGAAAGAATCTGTTGCTATCAAAGCTATGATATACTCCAGCAGTCAGGATTCTGCCCATGCCCTACAGCAGGGTGTTTATTGGTAGAACGAGCATACCTGTTGTTAGGAAAATAGACATTGAGGGTCCCAGAATATGCTCTATTTATTGATATTTAGAGAAACAGAAGTAAATGATGACGAGACGTTCTAGGATGACACTATTTCCCCCAAAGAATTTTAAGTGTATGGCTTTTACACCAAGAGATCTTAAGAAATGAAGGTAACTGAGTGGAAGTAATGGAAGAAGGCCCAGGACACAGAGGAAAGGACTGGCCCCTACCTTCATCCTCACTTGACTTGCTCAGCTGCTTCACCAGTTTGGCTGTGTTGTTCTATGAAAGGAAGGGAGCAGCAGGATGGTAAGTGCCAGAAGGAAAAGCAGCCCACTCAGAGCTAACCACTCCCACAAACGCACGATCTCTTAACAGCCACTAACACTGAGATAGACCTTCTCTCTTACAAAGCCCTTGGAGACGTAGTCTTACTCCTTAAAACAACCCAGTTAGGTAGGTTCAACCATTCCCATTTTACAAATGAAAAAACTGAGGCTCAGATATATAAAGTGCCCCACGTCACACACCTATTAAAGGACATAAATTTGAACCAAATCTTGATTCCAAACTCCTATTTTTTTCTACCATTCTACCTCACAGGCCCAAGACTGTAGCCACATCAGTCAATGAGTTTTTCATCTGTTAGCCTAAACCAAAAAGGAAGAACCAGGATTGTAAAGACTGAAGGTACCTGCTTGAGATGGTCAACGGTGAGTGGTAGGTGCTGCAGGGTCAGTAGAATTTGCTGCAAGAGGGGAATGTTGTTGGTTGTCTTTGAGTATGTCAGCCAGTTGTTAAGAAGCTTGTAACCACCAACATCAATAAACCTGCAGGCAGGGAGGAGGCTCTGTGATGCCCTTCCTGGGTCTTGGGAGTATACCCCACCCTCCTAGTCCCCCAGCAATAACCCAGGAACCCCGTGCCTCACCCCCCCTCCCTTCTAAGTACCCAGCCACCCAGGTCCCCACTTACTTGACCAATATTTCTGGTGAACGGGTCTGCAGGAGAATGTTCAAGTAAGTGCATCGACTCACCATCTTTCGTGCTTCCTTCATCAGACTGTAAGAGATAAGTCAAGGTTAGAAATGAAGCAGCCCGAAAGCACCTCTTCTTTGAGCAGACATCTCTAATCTGTGGGAGTACCTCGAGATCCCTGATGACTTGGGACTTTGCTACAGGGTGGGGGGATCACACAGGCCCCTAGGAGGATGGGGTGGATCAGGATTGATGTGGAAACACCCAGAGGGATGGAACACAATGGAGGAGATGCACTGAAGTCTCCGATCTGAGGAGGTAAGTGTCACTGCTTCTCTAACCCACAGGACACATTTGATTCTGCTTCCAGGTGAAGAGCCCTAGGCTTCAACTACCATCTCTTCGGACTGGCTTAGTCACTCGCTTTCTCCTGGAAAACTTGAGGATCCCTGAATGAAAATGACATTTGGGGTATGCAGAATGCAACCCAAAACAGAACTAAGAATCCTGTCACCTGACTCCCTGCTTGCTTCCTTCCTTCCCTTGGGACTGTGGATCTCCAAATATCCAGATGCCATAATGACCAGGGACCAAGGGGTCATCTTTTCCTATCACTAGTTCTAACATAATTGGATTTGAATCCTATTCCACTAACTCCCATTCCTCTTAGGGAACACTTTTTGCTATCTGCCTTAATTATAGTCATATTACAACACAAAATATTCTCCGCTCACAACAAATTCAAAGGGTAGGGTACAGACTCACCTGAAGATCTTCGAAATCCCATCCACACTCTTGACTTCCCCATCTCGGTTAAGGAAGCTATCCAGGCCCTTGAGAAGCTCTTTGGGGTCTATGGGACCCGAACCCATGATCGAGGTTTTCTAAGATAAGAGGATAAAACAAACCCACAGAATAAATGGGTGGCAAGGACAGCCGCAGTTGCCCTCTAATAAATTCTATCTCTGTGTTTGACAAATTATTAGTGATTATTTAATCTACATTCAACTGCACTCACCATTATCTAGGTAAGAAAAATCAACACAGACAATTGTCCCTACTGAGAAAACAGCCCTGGCAAGTGAAGCACTGTGTCCATACATGACTGGAGGGGACGACAGTCAGACTGGAGGACTGAGGCAGCGCCTCTCCTCTCGCTCCCAGTTACATCCTTCCCAGGACAGCTGAACTTCACCAGATTGTATCAGAGCTAAGATTCACATTCCCAAAACAAACACTCAACTCTCCAAGTCATTTTTGCTTATCAGGTCCCGTTTCCCCTTAGTTGCTAATGAATCGAGCTTAAAAAAAACACCAAACCTATAGCTTGATAAGAACTGGGCCAATCATGGATGTTGGGCTGTCTTCCAAGAGTCAACTCCTTTCTATCTTAGCCCATGAAGAGTCAACCGCTTGGGAGATTGGGATTGACATATATACATCAATATGTATAAAATGGATAATAAGAACCTGCTTATAAAAAAAAAAAAAGTCAACCGGCACAGGTAGCAAGATATGTTCTGCTTGCACCAGTAGACAATCTTCTGAAGTTGTAGGTGAAAAGAGAAGGAAACAAAACTTGAAAACAGAACCTCTCCCCTACGGGAGTTAGGGGTGGCTCCCAGAAAGAGACAAATGGAGCAAAGAAAATCAAGCAGGTCCTCCTAAGCCTTGAAAAAATGTCATTCATTAACCAAACCCTGCATGAGTTTTTATTGTTTCAAAGTTAAGGGCAAGATTGGTTTGTGGTTTCAAAAGCAAAGATGCGAATCTGACTCCTAGTCCCACCTAAATCATAACACCACCCAATATCCCCAAGGAGAGCCTGAAATTAGAAACAATGGAGCCAAAAAGAATGGAACAAATAAAACTAGAAGCTGGCAAAATGCCATTAAATTTTAAGTAGCTGCTTTAGACTAGGTTAGAAAAGGAGTTAATTAAAAGCTGAACACAGCTGTTACGGGACAGAGACACGTGAAACAATTTCTAGGCCAGAACTGAAGTTTGAGAGAGGTGATTTAGAATCAATATGGTTCTGATTAGGATTTTTATCCACAATGCCTCTAAACATTGGCTTCTGAGAAGCAGAAAAGAAAGCCACCTTAGTAATATCGACATTTGGGAAATAAGACGAACACTGGGTAGGAAGCAGGCAAGAAGAAAGCCTCCTGAATCCCGCATCTAGTACAGAGATGAAACACATGAGCCAGGCAGAAGGGTGGGAAAAATCAGTGTTTTACAAAGATGATTATATTTTCTGCAGAAAACAGGTTCCTTATAAGATCATGTTAATTAGTTCTATTTGTTCTATTTGTTCTCAAGCCAAAAGAGAAAAACAAGCATAACACTTTCAACCTTTTAATTCTCACAATAAAAAAGTCAATAAATTTCTACATTTACACGGTCTAACAACCTAGGCCAAGAAGAGGCAGAGGCATGGGGGGAACTTGGTTCCTGAGACCATAACCTGTGGGTTGAATACAGGGAGAGGAGGTAAGGTAAGAAATACTGAGAGGTGAGCAAGTCTGGGTTAACTGTGCTTTGCTGCTGCCCTGGAATCTCCACGAGGACAGGTAGAACCTAAGGTCAGAGGAAAAAACATTCAAGTCCAATACCAGATAAATTAGAAGTCCACAGGCCAAATCCACTTAAGTGTGGTGATTCTTATATACAGAGAGACAGACATGGGGATAAAGGAATTTTCCCCATGTAGTAAGACACTATAAAGTGAAGTATAGACACTATAAGGACAGAAATACAATAAAGGGATACATAAAATAGATTTCCCATTTGCTGGAGACTGGAAAAGCAATGAGCGAATCCAAAATAATAAAATATATCATCAGTTAAAAAAAATATACGCAATTTGACCAAAAGCTTTCAATTAAACTAACTTCACTTCCAACCAATGTCCCCTAAATACAGCTGGCCCCTCAGATTCAAACCCAGTTGAATACACAGCACCTTGGAAAAGTCCCTTTTGCATACCCACCTACCAGTTAAGTCAACAGGCCTGCTCCCCCTACTTCCTTCAGAAACAAAAACTGTCACCTGAGCTCAAATGTTCCTTTGCTTAAGAGGGCAGCAGACAAGAGAGAATAACCATCTTTAGAGAGAAAAGAAACCAGCGAGTACACAGCTAAATTCTGTCCAGTGCCTTCTGCTGGGAATGGGACCCAGGGACAACTTTTTAATTCCCATTCACAAGCAGCAAGAATAAAAGACATTAACAGTCAAGGAAAACTAGAAGACAAAGCAGAAGAAATGTTAAATATTCATTTTCCACTGCAGTTTTCCTATTATGTACATTCTGGAAATATAATTAACAAAACTATAAATTTTGTCTCACAAGCACCAATCACGTGGTTTTAAAATGTAAGGGGTTTTTCTCATGACGGCTTCCTCCAGGCAGATTAGTTTTCACTCATTTAAAATTAAGGACCCCAAGTGTTTTACAACCTATTTCCGTATTTTGAAGTCATTACGTTTAGAAAGAAGTTCCAAGGCACTCAAGTGGAAAGGAATGAAGAGCCTAAATTCTCGGCCCAGCCCTACAGGAGAAAAGGCAAATGACTTTACCAGGGAAAGAGGGGCAGTGACCAATTGTCATTAACGTATCTGGAGCCTGGAACGAAAGCTTAAGGAAGCTTTCTGAAACCAAAAATAATCCAGGGCATGATATGTTTTAATTTCCTTGAAGGCAGAACATACGGGGTGGCAGTGGGGAAGCAACCCCTGGTATCATCTCCACCTTGTCCTAAAGCTGGGCTCTCCTTATGGAGGATGTTGCCGGCAGACACGTGCAGACACAAGGCACTGGGGAATTTTCTTTCTTACCAGAGATAAAATTAAGTCCAGAAGTGACACCAACTCCTGCCTCCAAAATAAATAAGGTGAAAAATATCTAGCTTGGCTAAAGTTATTCCATACCCATCACCAATGAAACAGAACTGAATTGGTTCAGGACAAAAATTCTAGGCGAGTTTAAAAACAATCACAACAATCTTCTAACAAAGGAGGAAGGTGTCCGTCCAAGTTTACCTTCACTTAGAGGTCTCATCACTTCTGGAAATGAAGTGCTTTGTAGCTTACATTCCCCCCTTCCTTTCCACGGTAATTGAGGCATTTCCTAGTCTGACTCCAGAGTGGACTGAATTATGTCTCTCAGGTGATTCACAAGGTCGCACCTCTCTTCAAGTAGTAAGCCGCTCCCCCTCAAAATCACTCCAAAACCTGGTAGCACATGCCCTTCCCAAACGCTTATTTGCCTTTCAATAAGGGTGTAAAGTCACCCCCCACCCCTGCCCTCATAGGACAGGATCCCAGGATAGAACTGTGGCCACAAACTACAAGGATCAGGTTCTCCGACGTTCTCTGGATGGATGTGGTTTCCCTAGAAGACCTTTTTTCCCATCTCCCATGTTAATGCAGATCTTCTTTATTATAATCCCCTGCTCACTAGAGCTCAGGAACCCCAGTGGGCAGAACGTTCAGCTCCCAAGGAAGGTATGCTGCAGAGGCACATGGCAAACTGCTTAAAAGATAAAAAACTTGTGGTCAGTAGGACATGTGGAAGAGGCCCTCCCATCCAATCCACAAGTAATAGTTTGAGAATCCATACCCAGTAGAAAATTAGCCCTAAAGTCTCACCAAGTCACCACAGAACAGTTGTACAAAATGGCTTTCCAATTCTGCCTAGAACCTTCACGCTTCACGGCAGGACTTTAAAAAATGAAAAGTATATGGAGAGTCTGATAAAGATTTGACTTTGAAAAAGTTGGAAGAAGAAAGGTAAGAAAGGGACAGGACACCCAATACCACCCTCAGGTAGGGCATGGCTTTCCAACATGCACCAATTGCTACAGCACTGCACAAGTTGAAAAACGAAGAGGACATTATTTCCCCATTGTTTTTAAGGAATTTCTTTCAGAAGGGAAGGAAAAAGAAATTCAAAAAGGGTGGCTCTTTGGAAAAAAGAAATGAAGGTTGTGAAATGTAATACCAGAAAGGTTTTGCTTACCAGAAACCGTAGCTTGAATCCCCCTGCCTTGAGTTTACAACTGCCGCCTCCTTTCCTAAAGATTCACTTCTCATCCTAGTACCAATGTACAGGAGCTAAGCAACTGGAGAACGTGATACAGCACTGAACACAGAGCTTACCCCCAAACCCAGAGGCGGGAATAAGGGCGATTTAGAAGAAAGTCCTAAAGTACCCACTCTCCCCCAGATTCTCATCATAAAAAGCGACCAAATGCAAGAGGCCCAAGGACTGACTCCTGAGCAGAAACTGCACATTTCAGTGTCATTAGGCCCCAGTTGTCTATTCCAGTTACTCATTCACAAGTCCTTGTGTCTTCCTCCAGTATCCCCCAACACACGTAAGACACACACACGCTCACACACACTCCCCTCAAAAGCTTCCAGCCCTAAAGTACAGCTGTTTGACTGGTTTCCACCCCTGGCAACTGAAGCAGGGAAAAATTCCAAGCAGTAGTGATGAAAGAAGGTGAAAATAAAAGCAACAGATTCGGGATCGTTAAATACAAAAACTAGAGCTGCCCAAGGAGACGGACAGCTTCAAGACCTAATTCCTATAAGCTTTTTTCCTTTTAAGATAATGGCTATAAAAGGTTATAAAGAAAATAAGGAAAATGGCTTTTCCTGTCTAGCAGCAGCGTGCACAAGAGTCCAGAAGGCATCTGCTCGGGGTGGAGTTTGAAGAGGGTGGAGAAAGGAGGAAGAAAGCTCATTACATCACCTTTCAATGCTGCTCCTCCCCCTTGACCAAGTTTCTAGGGCGGCCCTAAGCTCTGGATGGCAAAAGGGGGAGAAAAACAACAAGGCAGGGACGCCATCTTGTTACGGAGAAGAGAACTCAAACTTAAAAAGCTATCCCGGCTCTGCCGGTAGCTTTTTACATTAAAAAACCTTTTAGTAAAAAAAACCAAAAAACAAAAAGCAGCCCCCATCCTGAATAGTCTTTGACCTACTTTGAATAAGAGCAGTGTGAAAATAAAAGCAATTAAAATATTAAAAAGAACAATTTTCTGCGGGGAAGAACTGAATTTGCAATTGAGGTTCAACCTGCTACTGTCGAACACCCCCATCCTCCCTATAAAGGGAAAGGGGGGAGGACTTGGACCCCTCTCAACAAATAGGATTGAGGTGGGAGGACAGGAGAAAAATGGGTCAAGACACAATCTGCAACGCCGCTTGGAAGACAAAAGGACAAAGAAAGTCGCCATATTGAAGCAGGGAAGAAAAAAATTCCTTTTAACGACACAAATCTTCTAGAAAGCTAGCATTCAATTGCACTAAATGGCTTTTAAAATTATACTCCTGAATTCCACATTTCCCCAACCTTTCCACCCTCTACTTAACTGTATTCCCCCCACCAAAAAGTATCAAATTAAAATGTTAATCACTTTTTTTTGCTTTTAAATAACCTACGCAATCTGCAACAATTACAAGACATTCTTTACCTCCCCAACTATTATCTTGTATGTATTGGCACTAAGATTATATTTTGCCCTGAATTAAGTGTCTTGCAATCTTTATTCCTAGATTGCCACCTGTATTAACCACACAAATATACCCCAAACAAATTACATTAAAATTGAGAGTTAACAATCATTTAAAGTCATAGCCACCTATTTCTCTCTGCCCATCTCCTTACCCTGCAATCTTTATGTACAGATTGCTTATTAATCTGGCAAATTGAAAGGCGCCCTGCTTGTCTCACACACAAAGAAGTGGGACTTCTGGGCCACAAAATCCACCATCTTTTGTATGTGAGCTCATTAACCCTTTTGAAGACTGCTGCTAACGAGAGGAAGGTAACCATACCTCCTTATAAAAAGCAAACACTTATGGCTTTGGCAGTCTGGAAATTGGCTGGATTACCAAGGGTTAACCATCAAAATCTTAAGTTGCGGGCCCTCCCTCCACCCTCTCCTAGCCTGCAGCAGAGCAGGGAACAGGCAGGTGGTAGGGGAGCGAGAACACTGTTTAGACCCAAAGGCCCTTTTTAATGGAGATTAAGTGACCGGATCGGTCCTTCTCCAGTTCTCTATTTGTTCTACGGTCTCATTTCTTCCTCTCATTATTTTTGGTTTCACAAAGGGAAACGTTGATTTCTTGTTGCAAGGCTGGTTTTTGAAAATTCGACACTTACTATCCAATTTTTTTGCGACGTCAGCACCTCGGGCTCAGGGGGGGAGGGGGTTAAAATTTTGGAGAAAAAAAATAAAACAACCAACCAGGACCCAAAACTCAATTATTTGGGGGGCCTCATTGGATCAAAAAGTCTCCTTAAAAAAAATAAAGGCCAACTCAGTATTCATTTCCCCCCCACCCAACTCCATGTAGGGAGGGGGGTTGTAGAAAAAAAGTTCTGAGTGGATTAAAAAAAGTAAACGCTGGATGAGTGAATTTGGGTGGGTTTGGGAAGGGAGGGTGGTTGATTATTTTTGAAGTTATGTGGTGACGGTCCTTCGGCCACAGATTTCAAGTCCCAGGCAGCGTGGGCTGGTGGGGTGGGCAAGATAGGTGGGAAGGGGCAGAAGACACAAGTGGTTGGGCTGGTGGCTGCTGTTTTCCCTTTCCCCCCTCTCTCAGGATCCTTTCAAGGGCTTAGATGTTGCTGCGGCTTGTTTCTTTTCTCCTCGTGGCCGGCCCGTCTTTCTCCGAGAAAATTCAAACCTGGGATAAAAGGAACACAAGGGAGAAAGATATAATCAGTATGGGTTGCTCTTAAACACCCAAAAGTACAATCTTTGTTGTCCCCAAACACCTCCACGTCCCATCCCGAACACAGCCGCTTAAAAAGAGTCACGGCTCTCAACCGAGCCCTCGCCTAACCCATTTCCTAGGCCAACTGTCCCAGCAGAATTTTACCCTCCAACCAACAACACGCCGAGACTTACCTCTAAACGAACCCCAGAATGGCGGCTGCCCGCTCGGGCTGAGTCTTTTATATCCGGACACCGCCCAACGCGCCCAAACGTGCTAGTGAAACGCCCTTGCGGCGAGAGACTGTGCGCGGGGCGTGAATTCATTGGGCAACCAATAAGACAACTCGCCAGCTGATTGGCTATCCTGCCTTAACCTTCGCTCAGCCCCTTCCCCTGGGCACCCTCTTCCGCCTCCTTCCTGGCCCCCGAAAGCGTGCGCTTGACCTAGCGGCCTAGCACCTCCCTTTCCTCTGCTTCCACCACTTCCGCCCTCGAGATCACTTCTCACCAAGGGTTGGTAGAATCGGACCGGCGCATGCGCAGTGAGAGGATCTCGGTCAAAATCGACTTCAAAATTGCTTAAAATACAAACTGTAAGAATGCGATCCAAGAGTCGTACTGGCTGGTTCAGCAAAAATGCAATTTTGAGCCCGAATTCGATAGTGACGCAGTTGAAATTGGCCTCTCCCTACGGCTCCCCCTTCACGCTTCCGTCCTGACGCAGATGCGCTGCCGCCTTCCGCACTGCGGGGTCATCCTTGGCCCTACCCTAATATATTTCCTGGAGCATGCGCAGTCGCTTTTCCTGCTTTATGCGTATGTCAAGATGGCTGCCTCCACATTGAACGTGTTGCTGAGGCGCCTTCCCAGCATTTCGCCCTTCAGAGGTGTCTACGGAGTTCAGGTAACTCCTTGGGGCACATTTTGTACAACGCCAGATTTGGTTGTACCTTTTCGAGGTCATCGCTCCACTGCTGGGAATCCAGGAGCCGAGGCCTTCCCAAGTGCTTCTGCCTTGGCTGTCAAGGCAACCCTTTGCTTCCACCACCCTCCTCCTTCCCTTCTCATTCTTCAGTACAGCGCACGTTTTCTAATCTCGAGTCGAGGGTAAAGAGCAAGGGTTGGATGTCTTCCTCTTCCCAAGTTTCCATCTCGGGTGAATAATTAGGCGGTGGAACGGATCTCTTGGCCATACACAAACCAACTATTAACTGTACAGGTGGTGTCTAAATCTTCGATGCCAGGGAGCGTTCTTGGGTTGAGGGACACTAACTTCTACCAGCCCTACTATCTTCCAATAAAGCCAGGATACATTCTCATGACCTGGGACCAGTTACTCGGCTCTTTATCTCACTAAATCAGTTTCTTATCAAAGCATACATGAGAGCTTAACTTTGGATTGAGTTTTCCCTCCAGCCTACGTCCTCACCACCCTGGAGGTTATGGGCAGGGCAGATTCTTGGTGGGGCAGGGTGAGATGGGAAGGCTTGCCCAACTGCCACTCCCTAAAGTGGGACTGAAAACTGGTGACAGGGGTCACCATAGAGTTAATTACAGGCCTGGTCGCTTTAGAGGTAGCGTTAGGACTTAAGTTTGTTCTGCCCTATGGAATGTTGACCTTCAACTTCTTAGAAGGCTGGGCAACTGAGTGATTGGATTGGATCGAGTTGGAGACTCGCATGTCCTTTGCATCCCCTTCCTGCCACACATCTTAATTCCAAGAAGATGGACATTCTCCCTTTTCCTCCAGTAGACTGAGTTCATCCCAGAAAGCATGAATGCCTTATACGTGCCAGGTTTTTGAGTTGTCTTTTCAAATAAATTTGCTTCCCAGTCACCTGTGCTAGTTTATCTTCTAATGTTACCTTTTCTTTCAGGATCCAGTTGGAGGTAGGGATAGTCGTTGTTGATGTAAACTTAATCTCCCACAAAATGCTACCTCCCATATACAGCATATTCCTGCTGTATTTCATTTGCACAGTGTGCGTGCCTTCCCCTTTCTCCCTGAAGTGTGGGCAGCAAACCAATCAGGTCTTGTCCTTGAACTCATTGTCTCATTTCGCCTCTGCCCCTCCTTTTATAGGTTCCCCTCCAGACTCTTTGCACCAAAGCCCCCCCTGAGGACGATTCTTTGCTCCCACTTCCCGTTTCCCCATATAAGGATGAACCCTGGAAATATCTGGACTCAGAAGGTACTTCTAAATGGGGAAGGGGAGGGTCAAGTGAGGTCTGAAATAACTGGACAGAGACCCGCCCATCACCACCACCCAAACTTGTATGGTCTTTCGTTTCAGAATACCAGAACCGCTATGGTTCTCGCCCTGTCTGGACTGACTACCGTCGCAACCACAAAGGTGGAATACCCCCACAGCGGACTCGAAAGACATGTATTGTGAGTTTCTGAGTGTGGCACGTGGATGTGGAGTGGGGCTGGAGGTCATAGTGACAGCGGCAGCAGCATTTTTTTTTTTTTTTTGGCTGCATTGGGTCTTTGTTGCTGCATGCGGGCTTTCCCTAGTTGCAGGGAGCAGGGGCTACTCTTTGTTGCAGTGCATGGACTTCTCATTGCAGTGGCTTCTCTTGTTGTGGAGCACGGACTCTAGAGCGCAGGCTCAATAGTTGTGGTGCACGAGCTTAGTTCCTCAGCATCAAGTGGGATCTTCCCAGACCAGGGCTTGAACCCGTGTCCCCCTGCATTGGCAGGCGGATTCTTAACCACTGCACCACCAGGGAATTCCCCAGCAGCACTCTTTCTGACAGGGCTTTGAACAGCTTCACCTGCCAGTTTCTTCTCTCTACAGCGTGGAAATAAAATTGCTGGGAATCCCTGCCCCATCTGCCGGGATCAGAAGTTGCACGTCGACTTTAGGGTAAGGAGAATCTTTTCTCTAGGATAAAGACTTGGAGCCTTTTTTGCAATGCTAAAGAGATTACCTTAGGTGCCCCGCTCTTCATATCCTGGTGCCCCTAAAGTCCATTTTGTATTGACTTTCTGGTAATATAAAAACATTCCTCCTTCCAGCCTTTTGCGCTCTACTAAGGGTTTTACTAAAAAGTTTCATCCCTTGTCTATGAAATTTACAGTCTAATTTGGCAAGAGAAATGGTTGTTTCTAATGTGAGGGCAATGCCCAAAGGTTGATTTATATCAATCACAGTTGTTAGCAGGTAGATTGGACTAGTTTTTTCTGGAGATTTTCTTTATTTCGTTGTCATGTTGATGTTTGGTGGCATGCTGAGACTTGGGGCTGGAGGGCAGATACATGAAGCAAGGTATAATCTAGTTATTTTTTCAAAAAACCTTCATTGTGATAAGGACAGGACTTGTTCCTTAAAGTATTCAAAAAGCTTATAAAGATGATAATGGAAAAGTGCCCTTCCGAGCTTGCAGTATTACAAGGTATTAGGGCAGAAGCTGAATGGCTCGTCATCAGAGAAGTCAGAGGTCATTCAGGTGTCAGTCAGTCAGCAGATGGGGGTGTCTGACTGCTCTCAGGCTCCTTCTGATACAGGTTGTAGAGGAGTCCAGAAGATACTTCTCAATTTCAGCTGTGTATAATTGGTTACCAAAAAAAGGCTATAATCATTTGTATACAGTTTATAACAAATCGCATGACTAAGGGAGAGAGAAAGATTACAGATTGAAGAGTGCAGATGACCCTGCCTGCCATTCCACTCCACAGATACACCTGCTTTTTCTTTGGGAGTCTCACCACCTGTGATTAATTACTGTCTGGGAGTCATTCTAATAATTAAATCTCTAAAATTGATTTTAGTAAACATATACATTACATATACCATGCATTTATATAAGTTAATAATTTGTAAATGTACATTATAACACGTACTACACTTTCTGGGTGATTTCAGGGATTTTCCAACAGACTGTCCCTAATTTGCTGCATGAAGGACTGACTTTAGAACCTAACCCCTGCAGAAGATAATTCTATGTGAGTCTCAGTGACAAAACGTAGGATGTGTATGTGAAATGGTTGGAAGGCCAGGAAAGGGAAAAAGTTTGCAAGAATGTGTTCAGTAAAGGGATGGGGCTAAAACCAGGACCTGAAGGAAAGTAGTACCTGGAGAGATGTAGAAGGGTCAAGGTCATTTGTGTGGGGTATGCAGGGATTGTGCACTTTTAGTCTCTAATCGTCTTGCTACCTTCCCTTCCCTCTCTCTTGTTTCTCCACCACTTTTTCCTACAGAATGTGAAGCTCTTGGAACAGTTTGTCTGCGCCCACACGGGTATCATCTTCCATGCTCCATATACAGGTCAGCCCATCATCCTTGTCACCACCAGAATAGCTTTTCCTTACAGCACTTCTTATATTTATTAAGACAGACAACAGGTATTTATTTGGTGGTTCCTACTAATGGCCTAAAAAATGTGATGGAACTTTTTGGAAATCTTGGCCTAATGGGGATACTCACACGCTAAAACAGTTACATGTGAACAGAAGATACAGGCGAGTACCAGTATAAGCAAACTATCTAAATGGAACTGTTAAAAGGTAAATGGTGCTGATTGTTTCCTTTCTATAGGGTCTCTTCACTTTTACGGAAGGCTTTCTCATAAATTGACCTTACTTTTATTCCATTGACAATTCAGTTAGATTTCCCAAATTTGGCATAAGCTCACCAATTCAAGATTACATCTATTCCCTAACTATAGTCACAGGCCAAATCTGGCTCACTGTCATGTTCATTTATTTTCATATTGTCTACAACTCCTTCCAGGCTACAGTGGCAGAGTTGAGGAGCTGAGACAGACTATAATATATGCCTAAAACATATGCCACATTGCCTCCAGTATATGGCCCTGTACAGAGAACATTTTGCCAACCCCTGCTCCAAAGCAAGATAAATTTGCAAAGAATAATCAGAATCCACCCTTTTGTGGCGTGGTAGCATGATCGGTGGAGTTTGGTTTGTCAAGGAGTTTGTTTTTGTTTTGGCTTAGTTTGGTTTTTTGTGGGGTTTTTTGGCCACACCACACGGCTTGTGGGATTTTAGTTTCCCAACCAGGGATTGAACCCGGGCTCGCGGCAGTGAGAGCACAGAGCCCCTAACCACTGGACCACCAGGGAATTCCCAAGGAGTTTTAAGAAGAGTTCTATAGTCAGGCTGTAAAAGGCTGAAGGGACTATTTTGCTACTTTCTCAGATCGTCTTGCCCAGATCTGAAATCCATTTTTCCTTTATTTAATCTTTCTCTGTGGATTGTCCAACTCAGCCCTTTAACTAACCACACTTGCCCTTTGAATTGTGTTCTGCTCCCTGTCTTGAAACCTTTACTGTTAAGTGGCTTCTCTATAGTGGCTAGACCCTCCTAAGTCTTCATCCTGGTTCGCAGAGAGAGAGAGAAGGTTCTTCCCACTGGGCAGAAGGGGAAACCAAGCCTTGCCGAGGGGTCAGGGGAATGGGGTCATCAGGTAGAGCTAGGTCTTCCAAATCTAAGCCTCTATCACCATGTAGAAGCAGTTATGTTCTTCATTTACTGTGACTTATAAAATGATCTCTGAGTTACCTTTTTTCACAGGAGTCTGTATGAAGCAACACAAGAAGTTGACCCAGGCCATCCAGAAAGCCAGGGATCATGGTAAGAATGAGAAGGGGCACAGCGCAGTTTTGTTAGGCATAAGGAAGGTGACTTAGGGCTGGAGGGTGGATATAAATGCTCCCACCTATCTGAGAAGGTAGCACTCAT